CAAAAGACTTGTGAGGACCCACACCGGAGAGAAGCTTTACCACTGTCTGGACTGTGGGAAAAGCTTTGGGCAGCCGGCACTCCTGGCAGACCACAAGCAGAGACCCACGCAGGCGAGAAGCCCTACAAGAGCTCTGAGGGCGAGAAGTGCTTCCACAGCCTGTCGATTCTCATCAAGCACAAGTGGTCCCACATGGCAAGAAGCCCTACATGTGTTCATCCTGTGGGAAGGGTTGCAGCCGGAACTCCAGTTGCATGAAGCATGAGAGCGCCGACATGGGCGAGTGTCGCACTGCGGGCAAAGCTTCAGCCGGAACTCGAGCTGCTTGAGGCATGAGAGGACTTGCATGGCTGAGAAACCGTTTAAATAAGTTCCCTTCCAGGAGGAGAAACACTCTGGAGTTGAGCTGTGGGAGAGCGTGTTCCTTCTCTGTGCTCCCTGGCTGTTTTTCTCCAGCCAGGATTTCCCCGTGTGTGTCATTTGGCACAGCCAGGAGAAGTTCATTGTAGGGGGGGAAGTGGTGGGGTGGGAGAAGGTTTAAGCATTCCTGTTCCCAAGTCCTGGGAGGAATGGCTGAAAGAGCTGGGCTGAACCAAGAGAAGAGAAGTTGAAGGGGGAGACACGACAGTGGTCTTCAAATATCTGAAGAGCTGATGTAGAAGAAAGGATGGGTGTTTTTTCTATTGCTCCAGAAGGCAGGATGTGGAAATGACAAGGTAGCAGACTTTGGTTAACATTTGGAGCAACGTCCTAATGATAAAAGGTGTTTGATTGTAGAGTGGTGAGGAATTTAAGCCAAGGCTGAGCACCCATCAGACAGGGATGCTGCCTCCACACCGCACAGCGCAGGAACTGTACTTGGCAGGCGGCTGGCCTGGATGACCTGCCTAGACCCCTTCTGAAAGCATTGACAAAGCCTTGCATTTGATGCTTCAACAGCAAATTGTGTTCCTCTTCTAACTAGGTTAATCTTTTTTTTTTTTTTTTTTTTTTGGCAAGGTGACTGTTTTGCTTGTGTCTGTTTGCTTAGGAGACTCGCACTGAGGAATCTGCCTTCTTAGGGAACTGTCTGGTGTGATGGAGCCTTCCAGCAGACGTATGCCACTGTCAGGGCTGAAGACGTCATGCCTGCCCTGTCTTACTGATGCTGGACCCACAGGCACCGTGAGACAAGGCTGTTTTCATGAGGCATCCCTATAGCCTCCTGTTTTGGCCTGCAGCTCCCATCATGCCCCGCCACTGATGATGTTTGCTGGGGCTGATGGAAGTTGTAGGCCAGAATGTCTGCAGGACCGTAAGTTACTTGCTGTAACAGATAATTCAAGCACACTCGTTCCTTTAGGTCAGTGTTCCCCAACATGGTGCCCTCCAGATGTTTTGTTCTACAACTCCCACAACCCTGGCTATTGGGCTTGCGGGATGGGCTGCTGGGAGCTGTAGTCCAAACCAACAGGTTGTTTTTCCAGAGAGGAATGGGAAGTAGAGCTCCAGGTGTTTTGGGCTTCCACCTGCAGCGTTCCTGAGCATTCGTCGTTCTCTCACCTGTGGAGTCAATGTCTAAAACAGCTGGAGAGGAGCCCACCAATCCTGGTGCCAGCCTGTCCTCTTGCTTCATGGAAGGGGGTGGGACTCGTATGCTGCCTGTGCTTTTGCTCCTCCTCCCCTGATCAAGTGTAGCAGTACCTTGGCTCACGAACCTCCACCACTCTGGTCGCGACCCAAATTGGTCATGAGCCAAGTCAAATTTCCCCATAAGGTTCAATGTAAATAAGGTTAATCCATCCTGTTACAATTTTTGTTTTACTCACAAAAAATTGAAGCAAAGTGACAAAGAACATCAAAGATCGTGGCCATCCCCCCCCCCCAGCAATCGTGCTGAGCGGGGAGATGGCTGCAATCATGCTTGGAGGTTGGGGGAGACAGGTGCGATCACAGGTGCGCTGGGGGGGAGACGGGTGCGATCGCAGGCGCACTCATGCAGGGAAGGCAGGCGCGATCACAATCATCACCCGATGCGGAGTTTGCAACCTGCAGCGAAGTCTTTATGAAATTTCTTTTCATGACCCAATTTGGTCGTGAACTGAGGCATTTGTGAGCTGAGGTACCACTGTCTTTCTTTTGAGAAATGCATATCCCTCTTTCTCTTCAAAAAAACAAGCAATAAATCCAAAGTGGATAATAAGAAACTGATTTAAGCCATTGCAAATATATTCAAATGAATCAACAGAGGTGATAAAAACAGCAGCCTGCTAAGAACAATAATTTCTTCTGCGGCTCCAGCATGAGTGCTGTCGGGGCTGCCACTGACAGAAGGTGTGACTGGACACGTCCCAGGGCAGAGGCTTCCTCACAAGAGCAGAGCTCCCTGCCTTCGTTTGCTCCATCTGCAAGCCGCTTGTTCACCTGCCTCCCCTCTGGCCCAGGCAAAGGTGGTGGGGAGAAGGGGGAGCAGGAGATGCCGTGCCTGCTTTGCTCACTGGCACTCTGTCTATCAAGCAGGCAAATTGTAGCCCTGATGAGAAAAAGTTAACAGCAACAGCTAGTTAGGATCGTGGCTTTTTTGCTGGTGGTGATACCATGAAAAGGTGCCCAGCCCATTGAGGGCATCTTGCCCAAGGGACCTCTAAATCCTGAAGCAGACAGTGGTGCTGTTGCTTATTTAGCCAAAATAGCACCATGCGTGAAAAAAGGGCATTACTGAAAGGCTTGGGAGAACCTCGAACTTTGGAGAAGTACAAAAATAATGCCAGTACACCAACCCTAACATCACATCGGCTGTAACTCTAGGAATGTCATAAAGTTAGAAAAGGGCAGAATTTATTTATTTATTATTATTTATTAAAACATTTTATGCCGCCCCATTCGCCGAAGCCTCGGGGCGGCTCACAACAATAAATTAAGACAATAACAATTAAAATATATACATTAGAATAAAATAAGCCGCCCTGGCCAAATAAAATTCAATAGAATTAACATTTAAAATGCTGCTTAAATAAAAAGGTCTTTGCCTGGCGCCAAAAAACAAATAATGACGGCACCAGGCGGACCTCTCTGGGGAGGTGGCACACAGCAACCTGGTTTGCCCAGGACATACACACTTTTGCGGAAATAACTGGACTTTATGCCTTCAAAAGTGGAGAATCAAGTTTCTATGTAGCCTGAAGTGCCTGATCCTGCCTAATCCTGGAAGCCAAGCAGGGTCAGGCCTGGGCAGAAGTGGGATGGGTGACTTGAGTGTATGAGTCTATTGCTGTCAACTGCCTAGAGAGCTTTGGCTATAGGCAGTATAACAATGTAATAATAATAAATAATAATAATAAAACTGTTTGCAACTCTCTTCTTAGGGGCACAGAAACCTAAAACCATTACAATATCTGAAAGTCTACCTGCTGCACCACACAGCTGGCCAGGAGGACTTGTGGAAATAAAGGTTCAGGGGCCCTGAGGATCTTTGTTGCATTGGATTCCCCAGACGAGCTGGATTTTTGCCCACAGAGGCTTCACCTCCCGCTGCTCCCCACCAGTCCTCTTGCCTGATGGCTCCTCCCCCAAAATTAAGAGCCAGTGTGGTGTAGTGGTTAAGAGCGTGGGACTGGGACTCAGGCGATCTGGGTTCTAGTCCCCGCTCGGCCATAGAGCCAACTGGGTGACTTTGGGCCAGTCACAGACTCTCAGCCCAGCCTACCTCACAGGGTTGTTGTTGTGGGGGTAAGATGGAGGAGGAGAATGATGTAAGCTGCTTTGAGCCCTTTGTGGGAAAAAGGCAGGATATAAATAGAAAAATAAGTAATAATAAATAAATCGAAATAAATGTCCTCTTCTCCGTCCCCATGTTTTTACACACACACACACACAAAATATATAGAGTGACCTCAGAGCATTTGTAAATCTGCTTGTGCACATTTGTACATTTTGTTTTGTTCTGGGGGCCTTAGCCCCAGACCTTTTTCATATGTAGCACCCCAGTGCTCCTCCATTAAGACTGTAACTGACCATACTGAGTTCCTAACTACATTATTTATTTTTAATTATTAGATTTTTATCCCACCCCATAGCCAGGTGTGGCCATCTCTAGATATTAGGCAGTCTTTTCCTGCTTTTCTCACCTAGTTTCTGTAACATCTGGTCTGATACAGAGAACTGGAGATTTTGAAACCTTGCACATTTTTCGGGATTTATGTCATGACCTGATAAAGATATTGCACTATATGGATTTAAGCCTCACATATTTCCATAGGTCTACTCTTCGCATAACTGGATCCACCCTATACATTTGAAAACAAACTTTTTGACAACAAAAGACAGAGGTTACAATATTGGAACGAGAAGTACTCTCTTTTATCACAAAAAAGGATAGAAGCCCCAATGATGCTTTCAATATTTGAACGGGTGGCATTTGGACACCACCTGTGAATGGATAAATGGATGGATATCGTCTACCTTTTAAGAGAGTTTATGCATAATTCTTTTTCTTGATACCTGTATTTTAATATAATCCTATATTTTCATAGGTATGCAATGCATACACACCTATGTCACAGGTTTATTTTCTTCATTCCTTATTTTTAGGGTTTCATTTTGCCTCATTGAAATCCACAATAAAAAGTAATTAAAATGCATTTTTGAAAGCCCATCCGGAAGACACTTCAGAGTGCGATGCAATGGCTCAGAGCGCGAGACTGGGACTCAGGCGACCCGGGTTCTAGTCCCAGTCACAGAATTTCAGCCCAGGCTACCTCACAGGGTTGTTGTTCTGAGGATAGAATAGAGAGCAGGAGGGGAATTGTGTTAGCCGCTCAGAGTTCCTTGGAAGGAAAAAAGGCCAGATATAAAGATAATAAATCAATATTATACATGCATACATACTTAAAGAGTTAAATTGAATGAGAGCTTCCCCCCCTCCCATTCCTAGAGCGGGCCGGATGTTGTGGCGGGAAGGCGGGATGTAAACAGTACACGTCACTTCCTGCCCCGCCCACCGTGGGAAAGTGGCCTTTGAATTTCCCAGACCCGCCGCGGAGGAGCCTTCGTGGCTCGCGGGGGGCGGATCAGGTGAGCGGGGCGCGCGTGCGGGCGCGGGGGGGGGCAGGAGCCTCGTGCGGCGCGTGCAGAAGCCCCGGCGCGGCGGGCACGCGGGCGGGCAGCGCGCGCAGGCGCGGGACGCTCCCCCCGGAGACTGCCAACTTTCCATCCAGCCCCTGCGCCTGTGCTTGGCGCCGCTGCCTGATCCGCGGGTGGCAGCAGGAGGCGTGCCTTCCCCCAGGCGGCTGATGGACGCCGCTTCTCAATAACCTCGGCTGCCCCAAGCAGTTTCCAGTGCTGGACTACAAATCCCATGGTCCTCCGACGTCAAGCCTGTGGCCGCCCTGGCTGGGGATGATAAGCGCCGCAGGCCGATGCTTTTGCAGGGGGAAGTCTTGCCGTGGGACCCTTGTACTGTTATTGTAGCTTTCCCAAAGTGGCGTTCTCCAGAAGCGATGGACCAAAACTTCCCAAGTTCCCAGACACCTCAGCATGAGGACCCGCTAAGATGAATGATAGGCCCTGTAGTCCAGCACTTACGCAGTGGAATTTAATCTTGTGGGGAAGGCTGATGCCAAAAACACTGTTTCAGCCTTGGCTCAACCTGGAGCGCTCTGAATATGTTGCAAGTGCAACTCTCATGAAGCAGCAAATAATTATGGCCCCACGATTAGGTATTCCAGAAATAGTAGATCAGCACATCTGAAGGGCCCCAGCTTGGGGAAGGCATAAATAATGGTGAGGCAGTAGAATCTGTATCATTTATTAGAAAATATTGGGGAAATTGTTCGTGGAAAGAAGGTGTAAATGGACAGGGACATTTGGGGTACATTAAAGGCTAACCATTTTACCACAGAATGCATTGTCATGAAAAGTGGACAGTGTGCATGTGAGTTCACACCCCTCTTCCCCAACCTGAAACCCTCCAGGTGGGTTGGACTTCAGTTCCCATCAATCCCAGCCATGTGCCCAATGGTCAGGAATACCGGGAGGTGAAAAAGTCCGAGACACCTGGAGGGCACCAGTTTCAGGACAGTTGGCTTAGTGGCACAAGCATCTTTGGTGGGTTTGCTGCAACCAGTAGCTTCCTCCTTGGAACTAACTTTGCGTATCTGCCAGTCACTGATCTTGATGCCAAGTCCTATGGGGCAAAGTAAGTCAAAGAACAAGGTATGTACAGGATTGCACTCTGCACGTGTGCTCCGGGGGTGGGGAAAAGGTGAACTTTGAGCTACGGATTACTAGGAAAGGAATTAAAAAGGAAAGGGTTGCTATTTTGTCTGTATATAAATTGACCCTATGGTCACATGTCTGCAGTGCTGCATGTGTGTTCATGAGCATCTTCCTTGTGGGGAAATGCTAAAAGAGCTGAGGTGGTTTGAAGTTTAGAAAAGAGACTCCCCAGGAGGGATGTGGTGATGCTTTATGTAGCATGGAGCCAGCAGAGGGGGGTATTTTAACTCTGTCCCTCTCATCGCACTAGAATTTGGAGGGGCTTTGTAGGCCTGGGATCCCTGCAGGGAACTCCAGCAGTGCCTGCAAAGCTTTCTGTTCCTTGCTCCCTAGAAAAACATTAGGGCGGCCCATTCTCCTTTGTGTTCCTGAACCCGAACAAATGAGTTGTTCCCCGACCTTATTAAGTCTTCTTCTGTCCCCACCCGCAGATTGTTCCCCTTGTGCTCTCCTTTTCTCCTTCCAGCCTCCAACCTTACTGTTTCCCTTTGCTGTTTTTCTCCTGTCCCTTTCCTAGCTTCTGTTCTCTCCCCTTGAGGCCTCAGGCTTGCTCTTTCTCTCCCTTTTCACAGAATCCTAGGACAGCAGAGTGGGAAGGGCCCATCAGGCCATCGGGTCTGACCCCCCTGCTCTGTGCAGGACACTGAGTTAAACCATCTCTCCAGTTGATCTTGCCATTTCTCTTCCCACAACCCCTAGCCCTGTTCTTTCTCTCCCCTCTGTGCCTTGCCTCGCTACTTCCTCCTCCGTCCACCCTCTAGCCTAACTAGCTCGTCCTACTGCCACCATTTTTGACTGACCAGGCCTTCATGGCAGCCAGTATGAGACAAGCCACGTCCTCCAGGGGAACCACTCTGTGGTTGCACCCACAACAGTAGCATTTCAAATTCCTAGATGACTCTCGGGTGTCCCAAAGGGCTGGGGGCCCTGTTGTAGGCCATCGATTTACTATATTTTTATCCCACCTTTTTTCCTTCCAAGGAACTTAAGGCAGCTTATACAATCCTCCTCTTCATCTTATCCTCACAACAACCCTGTGAGGTAGGTTAGTTTGAGAACCTGTGATTAGAACCCGGGTTTACTGAGTCCTAATGCCACACTTTTAATCACTACTCCAGCTCTTCTAGTCCCACCCCTTGTTTGAGGCACAAAATCTTTGGCACTCCCCTTGGCTTGTCAACCTCAAAGAAGGGCGTAGCCAGAAATTAATTGCTTCCATTGGAGTTCACCTCATTCCAGATGAAGGTCAGACTGGTGGATGGAGAATTCATGGGCCAGCCTTTCAGCCTAGACACAGGAAGTGCTTCTTCCAAGAGTTAATGTCTGGAATGATCTGTTGTAGGGCATGGGGCAAATACAGGGTGGAGGAGATGTCTGTCCGCAGCCCATAGCCTTGTGTCTGTAGAGACCCCCTGCCGGCCGATGTCGATACCAGAAGAGCTGTGCTAGATCGGATCTGCTTGACCCCAGCTCCCATCAGCCCTGGGCAGGACGCCCAGAGGTCAGGAATTCTGGCCTGAAGGGTGCCCTGTTGAAGAAGGCGGGTCTATTGAGTCTGATGGCCACCAAGCACTGAAAAACAGGCTGGTCCCTCGTCTTCTGTACTCTTTTGCATCCTATGAAAAGCCACCTCTAGGAGGGTTTGGTGCTGTGGACCACCCGTGGCCTGCCAGAGATCCCGATACAGCACTTGGGGACTTCTCAGTCCACCGTGCCTCGTTCCACCCACCACGGTCAGGAATGCCTGGAACCGTAGTCTGAAGCAGGCTGCCTTAGTAAGCCAGAGCCAGCCTCCAGGATAAAGCCTGCCAGAGGCACCGGCTGATGATTTTGGGGTGCTGCTTTTAGGAACAAGTCGATGGGGCGCTTCCCCGTGCTGCACCCGTAGAGCAGGTGCGGGGGTCTACGGCTTTCCAGAGGTTGTTGGCATCTGATGCCTGTTATCTCTCAGTGTCGGCTGCACTAGCCAGGGCAGAGGGGGGTTCTCTGTGGTTTCCATCTGATGGTCCCTCTCTGCTTCAGGGCGACGTCCTGCTTGCTACATTGACCACCTCAGTTTGCAACTCTGCTCGTTCCTGAGCTCCGTGGGAGTAGGTTTGGCAGTGCCAACGGCTGGCATCACTTTTGCCCCAGGGGAGAAGATGGCCGCACAGCCCAGAGATGTGTTGGCCCCAGGACTCTCGCAGGACGAGCCAGTGAAGGGGACAGGAACGGAAGAGACGAGTCTGGCTGGGCCTGAGACAGGGAAGGCGGGAGGACGAGGCCCTCGGGTCATCCACATGGAGAATATTCGGGATTTCTGGGAAAGAACCATCCCAGAGGAGGTGAGCCGAGAGCCCCGCAAGGGCCTGCAGCAGCGCTGGGAATCCCAACTGCAAGAGTTCCTGAAGGTCCTGGAGTCGCCCCACGCGGAAGGGGAGGGCCCACAGCCTCTGGGGCCCCTCCCTCCGAACAGGGTTAGAGCTCCCCCAGCTCCCGTGTCAGGGATGGCAGACCCCAGCCATCGGCCTAGAGGCGAGAGAGCCTCCCAGCTCCCGCCCGGCTTGAGTGGGGAAGCCCACCAAGCTGAGAGAGGCACCCTGGCCAAAGACAAGATGGACAGCTGGAGCTCCAAAGGGGAGACCCCCGGCCACAAAGCCATCAGCTCGCACGACGAATGCCGCCTCTTCCGGCAGTTTGGCTACCAGGAGGCCGAGGGGCCCCGCGAGGCTTGCCGGCACCTCCGCAGGCTGTGCCACCAGTGGCTGAAGCCCGAGCGGCACACCAAGGAGCAGATCCTGGAGCTGGTGATCCTGGAGCAGTTCTTGGCTGTCCTGCCCCCGGAGATGCAGGGCTGGGTCCGGGAGTGCAGCCCGCAGACCTGCACCCAGGCGGTGATCCTTGCCGAAGACTTCTTGCAGCGGCAGCAGGAGAACGAGGCCCAGGAAGAGCAGGTGATCCTTGGTCTGGGGTGGGGAGGGATCCTGTTCTCTACAGCCGCCTTCTTATTTATTTATGGTATTTATAGCCCACCTTTCCCCCATGGTGGAACTCAAGGTGGCTCCATGCAGTCCCCTGGGGGTCTCCCCTCCAAGCTCAGGCCAGCCTCAGACGTGCTTAGCTTCAGCAGGCTGGGTGCCTCATGTTCCTTTAGATCACACTCTCAGGCTGCTTCTCAGCCCAGAGAGGTTTCTGGAGCCCTTTGTGGATAATTAACCGAATCATCAGGGAGTTTACATGACAGAAAAGGACAAGGGGATGGGCAGGGAAGCAGAGGGGAATTAGATATGGAGAGCAGGGAAGGCTCCATGTTATTTTGGGTTTGTGGGGATAAGGCTGGCAAATAAGCCAGGAAGGTACATGGAAACCAACAATGAATTGTCTTGTTTGCCTCCCTAAGTGTGGTGAAAGCAGAAGCCATGGATTTCAGGTATAAATTCCTAAGAACCAAATGTTTTATTTTTAAATTAATTAAAGAGGAGAGGGGATGAATGCTGCCACTGAAGCCTCAAATTTGTTCTGGCTTGGGGACATAGGGAGAGAAACAGTATTTGAACGGAGGGAGCTCTTGGGAGAATAATCACAAGGAGAGCTTGGTGCAAAAGGCATGCAGACTTAAAACGAAAGCATTCGGAGCCCAGCAGCTTGTTGGCGGTACCAGAACAACTTCATGGGCCTTGTGGTCATTTCACGGAAAAACCAAAAGGAAACCAAAAGCAGGAAGGAGGGAAGAGGCCGGCTCACGGCATGGCAGTGTAGTAGTTGCTCCTCCTAACCAGGGTCTTTTCTGTTGTTTCAGGCCCTCAACCCATTTGAGGAGGAAAATTCGGCGGAAAATGCTCCATCGGAAGCCTGGCGGAGGCCGCTCTTTGGGGTGATGAAGCAGGAGGGGGACGGAAGCGCTGCTCTGTTGGGTAAGGGTCTCTGGGAGTTGTGCCTGCTGGGGAATTTGCCCTTGCCAAGGGGAACGAGGCAGCCATGCCGAAGCTTGGAAGTGCTGGGCTGCTCTCAGCCTTGGTGGGAACCAGGGAAAGACTAGACCAGCATCGCACAGAGCCGGTCTCAGGTTTGCCCCAAAGCCAAAAGCGCTGTGCAGCACAGAGCTTGCTCCCAAGTAGGCCTAAATCTTGGGACGGTGGTCATAGTCCGGGCCCTCTGGGCCTGCACCCCAAGAGTGGGCAGGGCCAGTGGCAGGAGGGCGGGGCTACAGGCAGGAGGGGCAGGGCCAGCGCCTTCCATTCCTGCAGTGTCTTTCAGCCTGCAGCCCAAACTGCTGGTAATGCAGACTTGGGAGAGGCGTCTCTGTGGCAGCTTCCTTCTGCTCCGTCTCCACTGAGGAGCAGGGCTGTTCTGCCAAGTCCACCTGGTGGTTATGACTGGAAAGATCTGGTGCAGGGATTGTAGCTCAGCTGTCCACTTTCCCAAGGGGTTCAGGCTGAACAGGATCAGGCAGAGATGGAGTGGTCAGGCCATCTTTAAAATACCCCTTTTTGGGGAATGAGGCGTCCCTTCAGCTGCAATTTGGCAGTGCGGTGCAGCAGGGAGGCAGAAATAGTGCCTCTGAGTCCGGGGTGAGGAGCTGGTGGCCCTCCCACTGTATTTTAGCGTTGGCTTCATTCCAGATGGCACAAGACCCAGTTCAGGGAACTGCTTTTAACCTACAAAAGTCCTGCATGGCCTGGAACTGGAATAGCTGCCAGAATACCTCTCCCAACACTGCCTCTCCAGACACTGTGATCAAGATAAGGGGCCTGCCTTTGTTTGCTGCCTTGGAGTGGGGCTTGGTTGGTGGCAACAAGCAGGGCCTTTGAAGTGGCGGCCCCTCAGTTCTGGAACAAGCACCACCCTGGGGCCCTCCTGGCTCCAACTCTAATATCTTTTCAGCACCCAGCTAAGACTGCCTTCTATCACAGGCCATTTAATTAGCTTTAATATTATATTAGGGCATGATGTCAGCTGCTTCACTGGTCTTATGAGCTAGTCTGCATAAAATAGTACAGCTTCTTAACTATGGTTTTAAATTTGGCTTAAAATTTTGTATCGTAATGTTTATGATACTTTTATATTGCATTTTCTGTGCTGTTGTAAACCACTTAGAGGGCTCCAATTATTGTGCAGTAAAGAAATATAACTGGCCATAATAATAATTATAGTAATCATAATAACAGCAACAACGACCTTATACAGGCAGTTCCCAGGTCACAAATGAGTTCCGTTCCTGAGAAAACAGAAATTCATCTTTAAGGCAAATTTGTATGTAAGTCAGATCACATATAGTCAGCCTTCCACAATAATTTATTTATATTCAAATTTCTATGCCACTCAGTAGCCAGACAGAGCTCTCTAAGTGGCTAACAATATCAATATACAGCTCAAAGTACAGGGGGAAAACGGGGTTGGGGTGCAGGACCCCCATGAAAGTGGAAAGCCGGCAAATGTCTCTAGGCTTTCCCCCCTCCCAAACTTACCAGTGCCTCGTCTTTGCAACAAGGAAATGCTGGAAAGATTTCCCTCTCCTGATGGCAGGACAGGAAGGCATGCTTTGGAGGCCTCCCTCTCTACCCTTTCACTTCCTCTCTCTCTATGGTAATGATGATTTTCTACAGTAATCTAAAAAAAAAAATCGGGCTATTTGGCAGTTTGTTTGCAAGTATGGGTTGTTCATAACAGACATTCATAATTTGGGTACTTGTATTTTTGGTTTTATGTTCTGTTTTGCAAACTGCCCAGAGAGCTTCAGCTGTGGGGCAGTACAGAAATGCATAATAAAAACTGTTCCCAGCCTTCTTTGCTCCCAGTCGGCAGGGCCAGTGGACAGAGATGATAGAAGCTCTCACGAAATCACACCTGGAGGTCCACAGGTTCCCCAGCCTTCTTGCAGGGACTCAGAATGCAGCCTTTCCCATGTTAGGTTGCCAAACACAGTTGTTGTTGTTGTTGTTGTTGTTGTTATAGCATTTCTATGCCGCCCCTTGCCGAAGCCTCGGGGCGGCTTACAACACAATAAGATACATTGAAATACAATAGAACATAATAAATTACCACTAAATACAAAAATACAAAAATACGCTGAGATACAATAATATAAAATTAAAATTAACAGTATAAAATAAGTAAATAAAGAATATAGGAGGAGAAAAGAGAAGGAAGAAGAAGTTGCCCTGGCCAGATCATATATTTTAACAATTAAAATGATGTTTAAATGAAAAGGTCTTTACCTGGCGCCGAAAAACCAGTAACGACGGTGCCAGGCGGACCTCTTTGGGGAGTGAATTCCATAGGTTGGGCACCACCGCAGAGAAAGCCCTCCTCCGCCTTCCCCAGCCATTGGCCACTCTGGCTGAAGATGATATGGGAATGTAGTCCCACAACATCTGGGGATCCTTCAGGCTTCAGAAAAGTGGCATAGATTGATTCATGGCCCTGTGTCAGTTCTTAGTGCCTACGGTCCTTGGGAGCTAAACATCAAACTGATATGGCCAGAGGAGAATTATCTTTGAATGTCACCTTCAAGGGACAAAGAGCAATGACCCGTCCCCCATCCTACTTCTGAACTTCCCAAGAAGTGGGAAGATGTGCCTGGCTGGGCACATTCTCTTGCTCTCTGGTCCAACCCAGCAGGGCGTTTCTTATTTCTGAAGGGAATGGTCAGTTTGTGTTGATTTGTTTTCGTTTGTTCATGCCAGCAGGCAATGTAAAGTTATGCAGGACAGAGAAAAATAACCCAGGAAACTCTGGGGCTCTGGAGTCCCATTGGATGTTGTCCGAAAGAGCTGAGATAAATGTTCCACACTGTCCTGATCGGGAAGATGGTTGTGAGGTCCTGTACGGGAACTGCCTAGAAAGGGAAGGAGGCAAATTCATTAACTCCCAGGGCACATACGAGGACCTGGATGAAACCCTCGTGCAGCAAGGGATCCTCCCTGGCGAGAGAGACAATGCTTGCCACGTCTGTGGGAAACTGTTCCGCCGGAGGTCCAATCTTATCGCTCACGAGAGAACCCACTCTGGGGAGAGATGGTACAACTGCTCAGATTGCGGGAAAAGCTTTGTCAGCCGCGCCGCCTTCCTCATCCACCAGCGGGTACACACTGGCGAGAAGCCCTACAAGTGCTCTTACTGTGGCAAAGGCTTCAATACGGGTTCCAGTCTCACAAGACACAAGAGAATCCACACGGGCGAAAAGCCCTACAAGTGCCCTGATTGTGGGAAGCGCTTCAATGACTACTCTAACTTCATTGTCCACAAGAGGATCCACACAGGGGAGAAGCCCTATGAGTGCTCCATCTGTGGGAAGCGGTTCAGTGACAACTCAAACTTTATCAAGCACCATCATTGAGAGGCGGGGTGTGTCTTTTTCCTTGTAAGCAAAAATCTTGGTGAAAATCTTCGTACAGCCTATTGAGGCAGTCTAGATACTCCCCTTGCTGTAATGGGAGTTTGGGCCACAGCCAGAATTCAGACTCCCATCAGCCTCTGTGGTCCTGGCAAACAGCGAGCTTGACTGGGGTGGGTACTGTTTTGACAAGGCAGCGGGAGATGGCCAGCTACGTTTCCCCTCCACACGTCTATCCAAGTAGCCCGCTCGAGTTAGCTTTGCTTCCGATCCAAATTTGCACCAGTATCTCTTTCACAGCCTGCTAATTCAGTCACTCTCTGAATTACTTCTGCACGCAAGATCACGGCACCAAGTCTCTGGTAACTAGAAAGGTAGTGCAGAATGCCTCCTTCTGATATCACTCTGCAAGTACTGGAAAAACTGTCACAAAGAGGAAGCACAGGATCTCTTCTCGTCCGTTCCAGGGTGTAGGACACGGGATAGTGGACTTAAGTTAAAAGAAAGCAGATTTGGACAAGATACCAGGAAGAATTTCCTCACAGTCAGAGCAGTACAACAATGGAACCTTTAACCTGGGGAAGACATTCAGCAAGTGTCTGGACAGTCTTCTGAGTGGGACGGTCTAACTTGGTGTCCTGCAATAGCAGCGGGCTGGACCCCATGGCCTTCTGACCCCTTCCAACTCTAATCTTCTGTGATAACACTCTTCTCCTGTCAATCATACACTCACAACAACAACCCTGTGAGGTGGGTTGGGCTGAGAGTCAATGACTGGTCTCTGATTCTACAATTCCTCACCTGCTGTCCTTCACTCAGTGCAGGATTGTCCAAGCAGGATGTAACTACAGCTTCCCTGACAGAAAACTTTCCACCTGGCAACTTCAGTGCCTCCAGTGAAGGAGGATTTGGCGGCTCCGCAGGGAGCCTGCTGAATGGCATCCCTCTCCTTTAGGAAGCTCTCCTGATGGTTGACCAAACCCCGCTTCTTTGGCATCGTGACCCTTTGCTTCTCCTCCTGAGCTCTGGGCCAACAGGCAAAAGCTCTCCCCGCCTTCTGGCTGAACAGTGGCCCTCTGGCGGTTGGAAAGCGGTTGTCCTGTCTGCCTTTCATAGGGGTCCCAGGAGATCAGGGCTCATTGTGATTTAAGTCAGACCTGCAGAACCTCTTTCAGCCCAAGATCCAAAATCTGTTTCAGAGCATGGTGAAGAGGGGGACTGAAATGCCCCAAACACGAAGATCCTTGAGTTTAAAGCTCTGAATTCCTGGTAGCTAAGTCTCTTGAGTGGCCGTTCAGCTTTTGAGAATGGGAGAGATGATGCACAAGATGTGGGAAAATACTTCAGGACTGGTGAGCATTGCAAAGGTGGGTGGAAGAAGGGGAAAGGCGGCTTGCAGAATGGTAGAGGGCCAGACTGAGTGGGCCTGAATTCATTCCCAGGTCTGAGGTTCTCTATCCCCAATTTAGGTGGTCTTGGGCTGTATGATGTTGTTCCCCAGACAATGGCTCAGCCTTCCACATCTTCTCCCCCCTCACCTGCCTAAAATGTCTTTCTTAGAAGAGGAAGAGGGGGGAAATGGGTGATAAGGGAGGCAGAGCACGCTTGTCCTTGTGGAGCCAGCCACGGTCTGCTTCGCACGGGCTGAACGCAGCATAGGAGCCAGGAAGTCATCCCCTGGGAACCAGGATTCCTGAGGAGCGACACACGCTCTTCCAGCACAGGATCAATTCCATGACCTTGCCTGGCGCTCTGTGTTCCTCCGTGAATTGCAGAGCTGGGTAAGTCTCCTCTGTGGAAGGCAGTGAACTCAGAGCGGGGATTCGCCCAGAGAGGCCTCAGGCACCCTCCTGTGGTCCAGTTGCCCCTGCTGAGGAGGCGAACAAGCCTTCACTGCCAGCAGAGGCTGGCTGGGAATTGGTGGGACCAGAGCAGAGATGCGACAGACACTGTGGGCTTCCCGGTGGTAATGGATCCGGACTCTTATCAGGCCGAGGCAGCAAGGGAAATTGTTTGGGATGATGGGAGTTGTAGTCCAACAAGCCACTGAGGAGCCACGTGGCTTCCTCACCACAGCGAAGGATTTGTTTCTCATGGTCTGTGGTCTGGGAATTAGTCGGGGTGATTGGCAGCGCTCAGTTGCCATCTCAAGGCCAAAATGTTCTGGGGCTTTTCAGGGCAGCTTGTTCTGATCTGGTGTGGGCCAGATGTGCTGGACGGCAGTGAATGAAGTGAGTTTTCTTTTCACACATCTGTGCAAATTTGACCCAGTGAGGAAATCGAGAGGGTTCAGTGTCCTCTCAAGATGGCAGAAGCAAAGAATTCTGGGAGGGACGTGAAGTGACACATTGAGTTTAGTTATGCCATTACTCCATCAGACTAGAATTCGGCCTACACAATACATTCAGCAAATCGGTTTCATTCATGGAATTTCTCTTCCTTGCTGCCTTCACCTTGTCTTTTGGTAGGGCTGCCAACTGATCAGTAAACAGTGGCTGGGCCTGCTCCTGTGCCCTCAGCAGGAGCCTGATGCAGAGGAAATCATAGGTGGTGCATTTCTTGGCGTGGGGATCCTCTGCTAAGGCCTGCTATTGAAATTGCTGCTAAAGGCACAAGAGCAGGGACACATAGAAAACTTGGTAACCCTCCCTACACTACATCCCCTCCCTGGTCAGCATGAGAACCGAAAGTCAATGAAGTGGCATGTGGGAAAATCAGATGTGCTTCTGCTTCCTTTCTCAAAACGGCTTTCACAAAGTTAGAGCCATAGAAAAATGTAATTTGACATGGTCCATGAAGGTCAACTCTTCCCAAACAAACAGGCTAACAAGTGTACAAGAAAGGTAAGAGAGTGGAGTGGAGTGGTTAAAGCAGCCTTCACTAACCCAGTGCCCTCCAGAAGGCCATCACACAAGGGTGAAAATATTGTTGGATTGCAGTTCCCATCCGCTCCAGGCAGTGGCTAGGAATGCCAGTCCAAAAGCAGTTGGAAGGATGCTGGACTAAACTTGGGGTTCGAATCTGGCCCTCCCAGCTATAAGGTTTGCTGGCGGGGTGATCCTATGCATGTTTATACAGAAATAAGCCCTCCTGTGTTCATTGGTGCTCTCTCACTTTTCCATGTGAGCAGGCTGAGCGTCTGGGGTGAAGCTTTCTCAGCACAGCCTACCCCACGGGTGCTGTGATGGGGGCAAGGCAGAGGAATGAACTGTGCTGCTCACCCTGAGCTCCATGGAGGGATGAGGGGGTGGAGGTACAGTTGGAAAAGCCTAACATAAAAGGAGCGAGAAGGACTAAAATCTCCAAACCACCCTACCCCGAATGCAAAGTGGACTTGGGGAGCCCACCCAGAACTGGGCCCGCTCCTTCACGGGTTGAAACAAAAGTCCCAGCCTGGAGGGCCAAAGCAAAACAATTCCTGGATTAAATTGGAGGGGGAAGAGCCTGAGTCCCCCCTGAACGTGACTGAGTTATATACGTAGTGCTGCTCCTCCCCGACCATGAGCCATGTTGGCTGGGGCTGATGTGAGTTGCAGTCCAACAGCTTCCCCTGTGTGATGGGCTTCGAGGTGGCGCGTTTTGTCCCCTGCCCAGATTTGCAAGCACAAAGGTTTGGCGTTGCATAGCCCACAATGCGGTTTGAGTGTTTATAAATTAAAAAGGAAGCCTTTTGCCCCAGACTGTGTCTTGCCTGTTTTTTTTAAAGTGTGATGGATTCTCTGCTGTTTCCACTTTGTGGCCTCCTAGAGGCGTTTCTTTCCTGGGTAGTTTGTGTGCTTGCTCACGTTCCCCATCCCTCCAAGGGAAATCTGGATACCAAAGTGGCCAGGGCCGGCTCTTGGGCAAGGCCGCCTCTGTGGATCCGCACCTGCGTGGAGTCGACCTTCCCACCCCCACAGCCTCCGGCCACTCTCGTGGCTTATCCTCTTCTCCATTGTGGCTGCCTCTTGCTTGCTGGGCAGGCAGAAATCCTGGGAGCGAAGGGGCCATGGCTTTTCCGCCAGCGCTTCCTCACCACGGCTGTCATCTGGGCCAGAAGGTGAGGCTGGAGAACAGGCAAAGGTGAAGGGAAGGAGCATCTCCAAGGAGCTTGTAACTTGCAACTTTGGTAGCTGCCAAAATATGCCCACCCTTGATCCTGGCTCTGCAGGTGTGACACAGGACCAACCCTTCTCGCTCTGCCCCTTCTCTTTCCTCCTCAGGTGCTTTCCTTGTCACCTACCCAGCCTCCCACCGTGCAACAAGCCTTTGAAAACGAATCGCCTTCCAAAACCCAAATTGCCCCAGTAACTTTGCAGGTGGGCCCCACAATCTTTTGGAAAAATCAGTCCCCAAATAGGCCCGTGCTAAGTCAGTGTTTGTAGCATTCATGGACTGATGAAGGCAAATGACGAATGTCTGGATGTGAGCATGGAGTGTCTGGAGAAGGAAGATGGAGAAAGGGGCATGTAGATCTAAGGAAGGATAGAAAGGAATGATATTGCCTGGGTAGGTCATTTCCACATTTACTCTGACCTCTCAGGAACAAAAGTGAAGCCTTGGGGGAAATTCATGGGGAAATCAATTTTAAAAAGCTGGGATTGGGCACAAATGGGTCTGCAGACACCCCCACGCCTCTCTCAGAGAAAAAATGCTCCCAAACCAATGACTAACTGGAGCAGGGGGTGTTGTTTCCAATTATATATTGCCAAAAAAGAGGAAATGTATTGCAAAAAAGAAAGGGAAAGCCCCTCACTTTTGCATGGCACTTCCATATACGCATCAATGTTTGTGTGTATACAGATTTACAAATAATTGCAGTGATTTAATAAAAGGCTGTGATCAGATGGCCTTGCTCTGTCTGGGGTGGGGGGGGGGGTGATGGGTACCCTCAAGGCCTTGCACTCCTGATGGTTCTTCATCTTTAAACCAGACTTGGACTGGACAGCCCATCAAATAGAGGACTCCTTCAAACAGAAGACTGCCCTACATAACACAGGCCACCCTGGGGTGAGGTAGGAAAACCAGAGTGTGGACAGAGAATGGAATGGAGTGGCTGAGCAGAAGAATTCCAGACCGCACCTTTTTGTTGCAGTGCCTCTCCTGTCGGTAGTATTTTCCGTCTCTCCAGCAATTCCATCAAGCTGGCCACCACAACGCCGAGATCCCTTCCTCGGTTGGCCTTTGCCAGCTCTGACCCCATCAGCTTGTACTTAAAATTGGGATCTTTGGCCCCAGTGTACATAAATTTATTCTTGCTTACCCTGCCCTGCACTTGATGCCAATTCTCCCAGTTTGGAGAGATTCCTTTGGAGCATTTCACAAGCCCTTCCAAGTTGAACCGCTTAAATCTTACGTACATGTTTCTGCTTAGGGTCAGGGGAAGAATGAATTCATTTCTCTGCTGCTCAATAGCTGAAACTCTCTAGGTCCTTCACAGCGACTTAACTCCATGTTTCAGGACATGGCACCGTTGCACCGTGCCAGTCCTTAACGGGAAATGATCACTTCCTGGCTGAAAAACTCCTCGACCTTTAGATCAGCCCATGACCTGGGGAGGTGGTGGGCACTCTCACAGAGGAGGTGCAGCTGGGCAGCCATCTGGGCGGGATGGTTTGCCTTGGCGTCCTGCACTGAGCAGGGGGGTTGGACCCGATGGCCTTCTAGGGCCCTCCAACTCTGCTCTTCTAGGATCTTGTGCTAAACCACCTGTCTCCCTGTTGAGGACATGGCGGTGTGTTTTATGAATTGTCTGCCCCTTTTCAACACAGGGCTGTGGGGTGCATCTGATCGGAGGACCCACTTGCAAAATGCACAATAAGGATGAATAAAAGCCCCAAAGAGCCAGACTTAATTCAGTAAGTGTTCCAGACATGCCATGTGTGAATCAAGCAGCAAAAAAAAAAGAAAAAAAACCAGTTCTGAGTGGCTTTAATCACCCATCACTCCAGAGTCGGGTAGTTGGGGCAGTACAATTCTGCACTGCAACATGATAACCTTAATATAAAGTGTGTGGGAGGTGGAGGGAACCCAGTGTCCATGAGTGAAAAGATCTTTACTTGCGGGCACCTGCTAAAGTTCTTCAATTTTTTTCTCTACAAGCTCCCACTTCTTTTAATAGAGGTACTGCTATGCACAGTCAAGTCTCTGACCCATGGAGACCCCATGCATGGAAGCCTCCAAAATCTCCAGTCCCTGACAGGCCTTCTCAGCTCCTGGAAATTCAAGACTGGGGCTTCCCGAATGGAGTCCATCCATCTTGTATTTGGTCCTTTTCTTCCTCTGCCTTTGACTTCCCTTAGCATGATTGTCTTCTCCAAGGAGTCTTGCCTTCTCACAAAGTATAACAACTTTATTTTGCCATTTTTGCTTCTAGTGAAATCTGGCTTGATTTGATCTAGGACTCACTTGTTCGTCTTTCCGGTAGTCCAGGGTAGTTGCAAGCTTTCCTGCAGCACCATGTTTCAAAGGAATAGGTACATGGATGTGTATGAATCCACAGCAATGACTATACATTAAATGCATACAACTTTCTGCCATTTATAAAGCCAGGCCTCCACAGTTACAGGGCTTAGGGGTGCAGGACTCTTGCAAAAATGGGGAAAAAAACCATGAATTTCTCTAGCACACCCCCACAAACTTTAGCTTGATTGCTTCCCTCTCTCTTTCATGTGTCTTCATGCCTATTAGTGTAGCTGCAGCAACAGCTTAAAGAATTTCCCTTTCTTCTCGATATACCGTATATGCCAGCATATAAGATGACCCCCAATTTTTACTTTCCTATTTTTGATTTCAGGGGTCATCTTATAGGCTGATATATACAGTAATAATGTCTGGAACAAGTGGCCAGGAAGTATGTTTCAGAACTATGCCCATATATATTGGGTAATTTCTAGGGCATGCGCATTGTCTGCAAATTTCCACAATAGGTTGCAAAACTCTAAAGACTAAATCCCATTTAATTGAAGGCAAACTCACAAATAAATTCTGCAAAAATTAGACCTGTGAAAAGCAAGGTTCACCTGTATATACTCTTCAAAAAGGCAGGCAAAATACCCAAGAATCAATTTGAAGCGACATCTACTGTATATGCTTCCTATTCTGATATTAGAAGTGGTGGAAGATTCTCCAACTACACATTATAGGAGGTGAGCAATTATCCTTCCAATGTTGGAATATCTTTTATAGTCGTTCAGCTGTCAAAATAACCAATTTTCACTGGTTTGTCATGAATTTCTATGAAGAAGGTAAGTAGCTAAGTACATCAGTGAGCATTAAAGACCATTCCAGCACAAAATTTATCTGCATACTAACCTGTTCCCAAAAGGTAGCAACTGCTGGATACTGCAAACCATGTCTTTAAAAAGAACATTAGTTCCACTCCACTGCTAGCAAATAAATGAATTAGAAAATCCTTTATCAAAGAGATATTGCAGTTTCCTAAGAAGATAAACCCGTTTTTCTGCAAGAGAAAAAAAGATCTGCAGATGCAACAGGGAGGCTGCCCATGGACACTTTGCTGCTGTCGCCATACCGGTTTCTTGCATTCCCAAATGAGCCCTTGGGTCTGAAAAAGGTTGGGAGCCCCTGTTGTAAAACCCTGAGCATCAAAAAGTTTAAATCACTTGAAAAGCAAGTGGAAAGCTGTTCAGATAGACCACTGAAGCTGGATTATCCTATCAGTGAAGAAGGCCTGCAGTCTTCTGGGCCCAAACTGAGAACCTAAGAAAGTGACCAAAGAAAATAAGAGCTTTCTAGATCTTCTGGATTCAACCCTGAGTCAGGACGCCCAAGTCTCAATGGTGGCCAGATGTCCATTCACAGTTAAAGCTAGTACACCGGCTGCACCCATTTCTTGTGCTGTTTAATTTGGCCATGGTGGTGCCACATACCTTGGTTACATCCCGTTTGGATTACTGTAGCACACTCTACATGGGAAACTTCAGCTGGTTCGGAGAATTGCTGCTAGGTTGCCCCCCGGGGCTGGCTGACAGGGACCACACAAACCCTCTGTTGGCAGAGCTGCTGGCTGTTTCGGGGGGACAATGCAAAGTGCTGGTGATGACCCATAGAGCCCTCTGTGGGTTGAGTCCTGGCTTTCTCCTCCATGGATTTGTCCTTTAAGTCCTTCATTATATCTTGGTATCGATGCATTTCGTTGTAGAGGCAATGATTGGGAATCATGACCATTCACCACAATGCCTGTGTACTTTTAAAATATTTTACCCTCTGTCACCTGCCTTTTTGTACCTGATCAATTGTTCTGGATAACTCAAAAGCTTGCACACTGTTTTGTTTGGATCTAGGAAAGGCATTGCCCAGCTGTGGAGTTTTGGGGCCACCAATCTGGGTGGCTTTAAAAGTGAGTTGGAACATGTCTCTGTTTGCTTTTTTAAATAATTACTTTGACCTGGAAGGGACTGTAGAGTGGCAGTGGGAAACGATCTAAGAGATGAGTGGGTGAAGGAGATGGGTTGCCAACTTTTCAACCTGCCTTTGCTCCTGTGCATTTCACAGCTGCTTCTTCAGAAGCAACACAGTACAAAGAGCAAATTTAGTTCCTGAGGCTAGAGAGAAGAGTGGCAAGGGAAAACATCAGCTTCTGATTTTGGTAGACCAAACCTAAATGGCACAGGAACACAAGTCAGGCCTTTTTTAATGGTCAGTTGGCAATGCTGGTTGATTATGCAACCCTCCTTTAAAGGCAGCCAAAAGGAAAGTGTTTCCCTCCAGATGCTGTTGGACTGCCACTCCTATCAGCCGAAGGTGAGGGTTGATGGGGCTTGCAGTCCAACCACCCCAGAAGGCCATGCATTCCCACATCCTGGTTTGAGCAGTTGTTCCCAAATTTCAGCACCAGACGTTTCAGTCTTGCCTTTTCCTGCCACTTTGAAAAACTCCCTTCACAGCTCACCAGATTCCTTTCTAGAAGCCAATAAGAATCCCCCCTCTTCCAACTCTACTATTCTAGGACTCGCTGGCTCCTCGGCCTCCCCACTCCGTCCAAGAGCAGGCTTTTAACTTGAATGACTGTCACGGGGAATTGGGCAAAGGTGAGCGAGGGAGAGGGCCTGGCAGCCAACTTCTAAGGGAGGAAACCCAGTCCAAAAATGTAACCCATTCTCTCGGACTGGCATTGCCAACCTGGTTCCCATGGATGCCAAGATGCCTGTAAATTCAAATTCCCTAGTTCCAACCATCGCCTGATTTTTGTATTTCTTGAGGTTTTTAAAACAAGCGGGCTAATCTCCAGCACCACCATGATTTGGACTTAAAGTAGCACTTTTGGTACTTTGGAGCTCGGACTTGACCTCTGCCTTGTCCTTTGGTTCCCAGGCAAGTGACTTTGCTTCTAGCCTTGCCTTCCAGGAAACAAATGCCATGCTTGCCAAGGCAGCCATTTGTGAGAATGCTCACAACACCTCCAAACCTTCCAAAGGTGCCACTGACCCAACAACGTCGGGCCCAGAAAGATTGGTGAGCCCGACTGTCCTTGGCTGGAGATGTTTCAGCAGCACCTCTACAAGATGTCGCTTCCAACATTTCTGCACCTCCCCTAACATTCTTATTCCCCTTCACTCCGCCTCCCCCAAATCCAGCTTACAGGTGATCAGAAAAGCTCCGGCATGAACTGCTGCAACCACTAGGCCATGAAAACAAAACTCCGCTCACAGAGTCGGAGGAGGCAGCTTCCCATTCCAACAAGAGTTTTATAATAGTCTGAATTCTTGCCTGTGTTTGTCTGTTCCTCGGGGCCAAAGAAATGCACAACAATGAGCTATTTATTTAATCAAGAACCTAAAAGGAACACTAGATGCAGCACCATATTAATAGTAAAAGAATTACTGCCCTTCAGGCTTACAGTCTAACAATAGCTTACAATTTTCGTTCTCCTTTTTAACGACATTGGAGAAACTTTGACCGTTGGTTTATTAATATAGTTACGGAACAATGCTCCTGTTGGTGACAGTCTCCTTCTGTCAACTGGGTGTTCATTTTGCAGCTTTTACTTTCTAATGTGAAAGTGAAATATGCACGGATGGGGAAAACCCACAAATGTTATAAATAAAAAGATTCTAAAATAGATATAGTAAGCGCTGAGTCAAAGAACTACATTAGGTAAGCCGTCACTGCTTACGCTCACAGTGCTTCACCTCAGGCATCATGCAAAACCATGGTTAAGGCAAGTTAATCATGGTTTGGTTTGGCTTGGTGCGAGAGTGGACAAAATGTAGCACTCCAGATGCTCTGACTCTCCGAATGAGACAGCCACCGATGAGGGATGAGAGGAGCTGTAGGCCAAAACATCTAGTGGGGAGCACAAGTTGTCCAGCCCCTGGTTTCGTGTCAGAATCATCAAATCAGGTAACAGTCAGCCAGAAAATCAGGACTGGAGAAGATGGTCTGAAGTAGCTCTGCAAAGTATGGCTTGGCCTGCACGGTCTGAATAGACGAACCAAAGCGGAAGCCATGGCTTGGTCTCCGGAGGGACCTGTGCAGAAATACGAGCACTTGACCAACTGAAAACGACTGCAAACAAGCAGGCCTGAACTATAGTTTGGGAATTCAAACGCTTGTTTGGATTCTAAACTATGGTTAGCACAAACCAGGGTGGCAGAAACGTCTCAGTTAAGCCAGTAAAACTTCTTTTGTTGAAGAGGAGCCCTTTTGCCCCGTTCATCCACACACGCCACGCTTCTGAGGAGCTGGCAAAGCACCCTTCAGCTTCAACAGTGTTTTGTTACATGCCACAAAAGGGCTACTGCTCATGTGCAAAGTGCCCTTAGGACTGCAGCATTTAATACAAAGCTCCTTCCATTCCTACAAGTCCATTTCTCTCAGCACCTTTCTGCACATAGGATGTGAAACAGCTGCAAGGTTTGAGTCTTGAGTTTGCCGTCTCGCTCCCAGGCATCACTCCCAGCTGCCTGGTCTGGGAAAACCGGAGTGCGGCTAGTAAACACTAACTGGGCAGTGACTCTTGGCATTTGCCTTCCGAGCCAAAACTATGAACCCATTTGAAACCGGTTTGCTGGGAAGTTGGAGCAAGCGAGGAAAAGAAAGAGCTCTCGACCCCGATGGCAAAACCATGATTTCCCACTGCGCCTGAGCCAGCTGCATTAAGGTAACCAAAGCCAGCCACGCTGAATGTGCATCCATCAAGGTGCTAAAATCCTAGTCTTCTGGAAAGCACCCCTGCATGATACACTCACTCACTATGTTCACACATTACATGTTTAGGGTGTACGCTCAAAAACACCTACAGCTAAAGATGTGTGAAGAGGTCCTTTTATACCTCTTCATTCATGAAATCAAACCCCGTTCTTTCCTGTCTGCCTCACACACTCTTCCTTTCCCAACGGCTCCTGAAATACAGGCGATTGTGAGCACAACAGCCAACACGCTGGCCAAGCGGTGAGCTTCACAACCAGTCGGCACACTGGTACGCCTTCTCCCGGGTGTGCAACTTCTGGTGCGTCATGAGGATGTCTCTCCGGCCGAAGCTCTTGCCGCACACGAGGCACTTGAAGGGCTTCTCCCCCGTGTGGGCTCGCTCGTGGATGACCAGGCAGGTGCGCTGGCTGAAACTCTTCCCGCATTCCGAGCACTTGTACGGCTTTTCGCCGGTGTGTGTCCTGCGGTGGGTGACCAGGAACTGCTTCCGGCTGAAGCTGCGCCCACAGTCCGAGCAGATGTAGGGCTTCTCCCCCGTATGGGTCCGTTCGTGCTTGATGAGGTCTGACTTGGAAATGAAACCCTTCCCGCAGTGGGAGCAAATGTAGGGCTTCTCGCCCGTGTGGATCCGCTCGTGCTTGATGATGTAGGATTTGCGGCTGAAGCTTTTGCCACAGTAGGAGCACGAGTAGGGCCTTTCCCCGGTGTGCGATCGCTGGTGCTCGATCAGCTCGGACCGCCACACAAAGCCCTTCCCGCATTCGGGGCACTTCTTCAGCCGCTCGTCTTGGATCCTCTGCTGGACCATGACCCCCTTGACCTGCTGGTAGCCATGTGAGCTGCCCGCCACCTTCTCCCTGGCCTTCTCCGGGCAGCTTCCCAGCCGGCTCTCCGAGGCTTCGCCCAGGTCAGCATGGCGGGAGATGTTCCACACGGCTCTTCCCAGAAGCATCCCCGGCGGTCCCACTTCCCCACCGTTGTCCAGCTCCTCTCCACAAACACTCTCTTCACCTGCCAGAATGGAGAACGTCTGAATGCAAAATGACCTTCCAGAATAAAGGACGCCTCTCTCTCTCTCTCTCACTCTCCCACACTCTTTCACTCCCACTTAAACACACACATCAGCCATACATTCTGGCTTCTTTTACTGATACCCTAATTTTAATATGGTGTCTTCCTATCTTTTGGTCCTTTTAGTGTTCATTGCTCTGGAGCCTATGTCAATATGGAGCTATATATGAAAGTGGTAAATATATTCTCTCGGACACCTCAGCCTTCTGCTGCTTTGTGCTGTCTCGCTCGCTCGCTCGCTCTCTCTCAAACACACACACACACGAGAGACACACAGCATCTGCTCATTCTTGCTCACACACCTCATACTCCCCCATCTCCGCACGTGTGGCTGCCATTCATCCTTCTTCTCTTTCTTACTCACTCACCACCCCATCTATCTATCCACAGCTACTCTCGATCATCAGATGACCTCCATGTTCCTTTCCAAGTCTAAAATTCTGAGGTTCCATAAAAGAATACAGAGAACGGAGGCCGAAATGCCTGCGTTGCTGCCACTGCCGACCGAGGGCTACCATTTCTTTAAAAAAATCTGTGAGAAGTCAGAGGAAAGCACCCCGTGAGGGCTGCACATCTCTCAAGGACCCACAACCCTCCAGTGTTATACGTGGCCTCCGGTATATTCTAAGCTTGCTGCGGGAGTTTTGTAGGACTGCAGAACTCGGGAAAGAGTGAGCCCCGTACCCAGCAAGGTGGCATCTCGGTCCTCTTCCTCCTCCTCCTCCTCCTCCTCCTCCTGTTTGATTTCCCCTAAGATGACCTTCTGCCAGGAATCAGATGAAACTTCTTCAGCCACGGGGAAAGGAGCAGCCTCCTCTTTGAATGGCCTCGTCTTCTGAAGCCCCAGTCCAGGTCCCACAAAGGGCACAACACAAGGATGAGAAGGAGGAGACATTTTTTACTGTTAAAGAATTTTCTAGGCCCCTTCTGGCTCTAGGCACCGCCTCTGAAGCAGCGTCCCACAATCGCCATCACAACAGCACATCGATACCGTTCGAAAGAGCATTCAGGGCAGGAACAGAAGGTGCCAGCACAGCATAATTAAAAGGCTGGCCGAAGGAAAAGACCTCAGTCCTGCTCCTCAAGAAAAGGGCCGACCCGGCCTCCCCTGCAAAGGGGTTCCACCATCAAGGTGCTGCCACCGAAAGGACCCGGAACACAGAAGGGGGAAGGGACAGGACTCCTAATCCTGCCCCACGCTCCCGTCCCGCTTCTCTGAGAAGCCCCTGCGCAGCTTGGGGGCACTGAGCCCAGGCTGACCACACGCTCCAGAGCACCGGCCTCCCTGAGCACGCCAGGATGCTCTCGCAACGATGCCCAAAGGGCCAGGGGAAGAAGGCAGAGTTGCGAGCGATTTTAGCCCTGAGAGGATCCTCCGTCTATTTAGCACTTTCCAGGAGGGGAGGGTTATTTCCACAGAGGCTGGAAGTGAGCAGAAGGAAGGCTTAACCCTCAACTCAGGACTGTAGCCAGGGCTAAGCTGAGGGGACTGCTCTCCCAAATCTTCATTGCCTCATTTTTTTTCCTTTTTTACAAAAATACTTATTGACTTGTATCTCTAAAGGGCTTGTGAACCAAATGAACTGCGCCCTCTACTTTTGTGTCCCCACAGACCATGGGCCAGAACTCCACCTCATAATCCAAGAGGGTGGTATTCATTTCAATGTCACATCCTGGCTAAACTTGAGGACAGTATTTTATCTTTCCATTGGAACATTTCAGATATTTCAGCTAGTGTTTTAGATGCTGCAAAGCCAGTTCTTTTTGCAGACTAACCAGGCCTTCCCATCCTCCAGATCTTTTAGACTCCAGCATTCCAAACCATTGATCACACTGGCTGGGTCTGATCGGAGTTGGAAATTCAAAAACATTTATCTGGCTTAAATCCCTCCCAATTAATTATTTAAATTGTGGCTGGTTTGGCCCCGGTTGTTGAAAGGCATAACAAACACTTAAAAAAAAGATGAAACACTTTTCAGAAAGGAAATTCTATGGCACTTAATGCGTGCTGATCATAGAAAGCAGAAACCATAAGAAGTTATATTTTTCCTTTGGGCTCCAGACTCCAACACATACACTAGAAAGCTTAATCCTCAGGACAATCACAGGCACTCTAGCATCTTCTCGACTCTCTTATGGTCAGATTCCTAACCACCAAAATGACTTCCATGCAAAAGAGTGGCCCGTCCCTCATTCACAGCCATGTAAACCAGCTTTGCCCAAGGGTTGCCCTGCAAGTCTGTGGGATGACAATACCCACAATCCTCAGCCAGCACCGCTGTGGGCAACGCCGATCTCTGCCAGCACCACATTCCAGCTATAAGCATCCAATATCCTCACCGGGTCTTCTTGCCTCTCATCCTCTTGCTGCCTGAGAAGGAAATCCTCCGCCAGGGCCACGGCCTGGGAGCAGTTCTCCGGCTCCATGTTCCTGACCCAGCCCTGGATCTCCGCAGGCAGAACTGCCAGGAACTGCTCCAGCACCACCAGCTCCAGGATCTGCTCCTTGGAGTGCCTCTTCGGCTGCAGCCACAAACTGCAGAGTTCCCAGAGGTGGTTGCAAACCTCACGTGGCCCCTCCGCCTCCTGGTAGCCGAACTGGCGGAAATGCTGGCGCTGCCTCTCTGAGCCAGCAGCCTCCTCGTCCAGGACCTCTTCTTTCACTTTCGAGCAGCTCACTTTGTTGACAGGCCACAGGCTGCGCTCAGTCTGCGGGGTTTCTTTGCAGAGGTCCGGCAGGAGACAGGCCATCCTCTCACTGCTACAATGCTGAGCAGGGAAATGGCCGCACTCTTCAATAAAAAAGAAGAATCATTTCCATGCCTTCCAACCATGTGCCACAAACAGGAATGGGGTGCTTTTTTCTGAATAGTGGCAACACCTAACTTCTGTGTGCGTGTTTGTGTGTGTGAAGAATTTCTACCCCACACTTAAGAAAGGCTCCTAGATTCTGTAAAACATAACAGTGCCTCCCACCAGGGTTTCAGTCTGAAAAGGGACAACATACAGGGAAAAAGGAGAGTGAAGGAAGGAGAAACGAAATCAAGCCTTTTAGTTGGACCAGCAGAAGGGCCCCGCATCTCTCCCTCATCTCCCTCATTTCAGACCGCAGGGATGGCCTTCATGCAACGGTGGCCCAACTTGTAGCTCCCCCAGATATTTTGGGTTCAAACTCCTACCATCCTTCAGCATCACATATTTGGCCATCAGCAGCTTATGTATAATTTTCAAGATTTCTCCGAAACTAATTTGTAATCTGTTTTGTTAACATGAAATACCACAACAAATTTAAAGTCAAATAAGGATGTATAAATACCTATACCTAAGGGCTAACTGCTCACCGGGTGACTTTGACATTGAGACTTAGTCTAACTTACCTCACAGGGTTGTTGTGAGGATAATATGGAGAGAACAACAACTGCAGGTTCCTTGCAACTGGAAAAATGAGGGATAGAAATATATTAGTAACAGCAGTAACAATGATCATGATGAAGATGACTTTAAAGATATGTTTATGATGGGGAATATAAAACCAAGTATAAATGCATTTTGCTAACCACAGTATAAAACACAAAAAACTAGCACAATAGTAAAAAAAAAAAATCCACAATGGTCAAGATGACAAAATTTATTTGAGGGAAGATTAGATCAGAAACATGTACTCAATACTGGAAGTGTTGGTGAAAATAAAAGCAATAGAATCTAGTCTTAAATGTTATTACTTTTATGAATAAATTTGTATTCATATGAAAGTGACAGAGAGATCTTATTTCTCAGTCACTTTTAAAATGTTTCTTTAGAACCAGAGCACCAGTGTGGGACAATAGTTAAGAGCGCAGGACTGGGACTCAGGCAATCCAGGTTCAAGTCCCCACTCAGCCATGGAGCCAACAAGGAGGCTTTGGGCCAGTCACATTCTCTCAGCTCAACCTACCTCACAGGGTGGTTGTTGTAGGAATAAGACTGAGCACAGGAGGAGAATGAGGTAAGCCACTTTGAATTTATTGTAAGAAAAAGGTGGGATAAGAATCTAACCAATAAATAAATAAACATGCAAAAAAGGTCAGTAACCCTAAATTGCCTTTTATCTTCAAACCATCCATGCAAATAAAATCTCTTTTTACATTTTAACTTTCTATATGAAGCCATAATGATTTCTTTCAAACATACATTTAGGGAAAGGAAAAAAAATCCCTCGCTCTACAGAAAAAGCACCTGTATACACAAACTCTCTCTCAAGCACACTCGGTTTCCACAACATGACAACCCACTGTGAGTGACAAGCCATGCTGAGTTCTGTCATTTGAACTGAGATCGCTTTCCTCAGTGCAGTCTGTCTGAAGGCAACCATAGTTTGTCAGCACGGTTTGTTCTAGGCTTTGCTTTACTCATCGTGGGTTACTATATCATCTCAACCCAGATGACCAACCTCACCAAAGGCACTAGGAAGCATCTGTGAGCTACCTGAAAAAGAGGTAACTCCCCTCTTGTTGCTTTTTCCAAGCTTGCCTGGGCCACTGCCAGTCACACCTACCCCATAAGTTCCCAAATGGCACTCTGAGACAACTATCACTGGCTTGGTGCCCCTCCACTTTTCTATCATAAAAAGTGTTCTATTATAATATTTTTATTTATTTTATATTGTTATTTTTAATTTTATATTGTTATTTTTGTATTTTATTGTATTTTATTGTGTTTGTAAGCCGCCCCGAGGCTTCGGCAAGGGGCGGCATAGAAATGTTCTAATAATAATAATAATAATAATAATAATAATAATTAATAGATAATTATGCTGATTGATTGGTTGATTTACTAAGATAATACTAATATTAAGAAAAGCAGTAGTAGTTAAGGATGAAAGGCAGTTATAAATGCAGTTAACAGCAATGAATTTATTAATGCTTGAATACTTTGTGATATTTGGGAGAAATTGGTTCAACAAGTTATATTGTCTATGTGCTTGCAGGAAAGATTGTTCTTTTTGACACAAAGGACGATTCAGAACTCACCCACCCAAACACACAGAGAATCCAGAACTCCACCACCTTACTCCACATGAAGTTTCAATAAGCTACTCCTCTTTCTTTCTTTCTTTCTTTCTTTCTTTAAAACATTTCTATGCCGCCCCCATCGCAACAAAGCCTCGGGGCGGCTCACAGCAAGAACCAAATTATACAATAAAAATAGCGGTGCACACACCGCTATTCTCACCACCCAACACCAACCTTCTCAGCCCTTTTTCTGCTTCTCTTGAACTTGCCCCATCTATGTCGGCCTCCCCACAGCCTGATGCCCACCAGATATGTTGGCCTTCAACTCCCAGCATCTCTTAGCCAGTCATGCTCATTTCCAGATACATTCACGCTGGGAGCCTTCCCTCTGCTAGTACCCGCACAGTTTTTCAGGCGAGAGCTCCCATTATCCCGGAAGATTAACCCTGTCGGCTGGGGCTAATGGGAGTTGCAGTCCAACACGTCCGGGGGGCACCAGTATGGACACACACACACAGGCTCCAAAGGAGCCGGATTTTTCTGCCTCTCAGGCACGAGAGGAAGCGCCAGCGACACTTTGGCCGGGCCAGGATCTCCTCCCCAGCAGCAGCCTTCCCAGTTGAACTTCTGCCTGCCGTGCAGGCCTCCAAGGCCCAGCCTCGCCCTCCCACCTTTCCACTTGCCTGTTCCCTCCCAGAGCCTGAAAGGCTCCGGCCAACCGGGGAGACCTGCGCGTGGGAAAATTCAAAGGCCACTTTCCCACGGGAAGCGGAACCGGAAGCGACTCTCTTCCTCTCTTCCTGCCCGAGAAGCTCTTCCGGCTCCTCCGGGAACGAGGACTCGCTCATCTTAACCCTTTGCTGCCGCCAGGGAGGCATGCTTAACGCCCGCGGGGCCGGAGACCTGCGAGACGAGCGGTGCCGCCGATCTGCGGGCCTCCTGATCGTTTGGACTTCGTTTCCCATGAGCCACTAGGGCTGCGGGTTAGGAATAATGGGAGTTGCAGTTCAGACCATCTCGAGGATGCTAACTTGGGCAGCGTTCCGTAAACTGGCATTTTCCAAGTGCTTTGGACTACATCTCCCAACATCCATGGTGTTTTGGACTACATCTCCCAGCTGCCGGGTTGTCTCTTGGTTCTTCCTCTGCTTTTTTCTGTCATAGCTTTTATATCCCCTTTTCCTATGTTACTACAAGTCAAGATTTTAAGTTTTGTTTTGCAAACTGCTCAGAGAGCTTCAGCAGATGGGTGGTTTAGAAATGCTACTGACAAATAAGGAAATACATTCGTAAACAATGCAAATTACTGACCACTGGCTATACTGGATGTGGGCTATGGAAAGTGAAGTCCGGTTGGAGGCCACCAGGTGGGCACCGGCTAAAAAAGAGTGAGGAATGGGAACACCTCCAACCCCGTATGCCCCTGGCTGGGTCAAGGCACTGCTGCAGGGAAAGAGGGGGGGCTGCCTCTAAACGCACCGCTGTGACTGGCAGGCATGCTGGTCAGGACACCCAGGAAAGGCATTGCATTTCCCCCAGAGTGCAGATCAAGCCTACATTTCCCCAACCAGGTTTCCCTCCAATGTCTTTCCCATAAGCCCCAGCAAACAGAGCTACACAGGGATTGTTTGCTTGTTTGTTTGTTTAAAAACCACAACAACTAGGACATGCCCACTTCAGGAAGACTTCACCTACTTTTCATGAGAAAGCTGCCAAATTCAATCCCTGGCATCTCACTTTAAAAAAGAATTTGAGGTAACAGGTGACAGGGAAAGCTGTGAGCTGAAAAGCAAGAAATGTAGTACTGAGGTCGTAGCAGACTAGTGCCTATACAACATGATGCAAGTTCCTAGTCCTTATGGCTGTCAAGAGAGGGTTGTGTGTCTGTGTGCACCAGTAGGGGCAGAATACACACAATAATTCTCTGGCAAAATCAGGCCAGAGAGGCAGAAGGATTACCAGTAGAAAGGGGCTTGACTAGGCCTGGGAAACCTATGTTCACCAGATGTTGCTGTACTGCAACATGACTAACTGGGAATTGAAATTCTGCAATATCCAGAGCTAGGGTTCTCAACATAATGCCCACAGGGACTTCATTGGTGCTCACCTAGCTCCCTGATTATTTTTTTGAACCAGGAGGCTGGCATGCCCCTCACTTCCAGCACCATTTTTCTTTCCATTAATGCCTCTGTGTCTCAGAAAATAAAAATGTTTGGTGGCTACAACCTGGAATTTTGCTTTGAAAGATGCCTAACCACCCAGTACAGAAGAAAAGCCCCTGACATCTGCAGGTAGGGTTGGACTAACTCCTGCCTAAAACCTGAGAGCTGCTGCCAGTCTGTGCTGACAATACTGGGCTAGATGGGCCCAAGTTCTGACTCAGCATAAATCCACTTTCTGGGTCTCAGTGCCTTCTGTGAAATGGGTATCACAGCAGAAAACAGTGGTTTTGAAGGAGCTATGTTGTGTTTTGGAAATGAGACCCTTCTTGGCCTTGTACCTACATTCTTGGGCATGTCGCTTTTCTTTGAGCTTCCCCAGTTTGCTTTCTGAGTAATGGGTCCTTCGTGACTAGCCAAACTCCCATAGCAGAATTTGGTGTGAGCACCCAAAACACAGATCACAATTCCAAGTGTATCCATCAACCCAAAAAAGTTTCCACACCCCAGCACGGCCTGCCCAAGGCAGTTTAACAAAGATGTGCCATGCCGGATGGCCTAAAAAGGGGATTTAGCCCAGCATTCTGTTTACACAACAGCTAACCAACTGCCTATAGAAAACCCAACCTGCTAGGCCTTAGGAGATTTAAGCTAAAATTCGTTGGTATTTTGGGGCCTGCCCCGTTTACCTTTCACCCCACACCTTTTTGTCATCAGTTCTAACACCATGGGAAGGAAGCCTCCGGCAGTTTCTCAAAAGTGGAATCTGACCCTCAGTCAGAATCTGGTTCAACTTTTCTGCTTTAAGGCTTACAACTTTATTACCATCTTGAGACATTTCCTTTTCCATTAACAATCTGCTATCTTAAGAGTTAAAATCCATGCACTGAAACTTTTCTATATGGGTTCTCCAACCGAAGATGTCCCCATGTTTGTAGTCCTGAGACAGTTTCTATCCTCTGAAGAATCAAAGGTGTGATGGATGGCCCGGGTCGTATGTGTTCTCTCATGTGCCGTAAGGTTTGCGCTCTGGCTGAAACTTTTCCCACAAGTGGTGCAAGTGTATGGTTTCACTCCTGTGTGGGTTCTAGCATGGACAATAAGGATAGATCTCTGGTTAAAACTCTTTCCACACTCTGAGCACACATACGGTCTCTCTCCTGTGTGGATTCTCTTGTGTGCTTTAAGGTGTGATGGGTTACTGAAGCTTTTCCCACAATCGGAGCACTTATGAGGCTTCTCCCCTGTGTGGATTCTCCGATGCATGATAAGGTGCGAATGGTGGCTGAAGCTCTTCTCACAGTCAGAACATTTGTATCGTTTCTCTTTAGTATGGACGGTTTCATGAGCACTGAGGTTTGACCGGTGACTAAAGCTCTTCTCACAGTTTGGGCACTTGTAGGGTCTTTCCCCTGTGTGCGTCCTCTGGTGGATAACAAGGTTCGAACGACGGCTGAAGCTCTTCTCACATGCCATGCACTTGAAGGGCTTATCTCTTGAACAAGTGCTGTTGTGTGTGGTAAGGTCAGGGTTCTGTAGAAAAACATGCTCAGACTGAGCAAATGTGTCCCCTTCCTTCTCTGCCAGGTTCTCCCATGGACTCTTACAGCCTCCCCCCTGGTCAGGATGCTGAGAAATGTTCCATTCCACTTTTCTTGCGGACAGCTCATTCAAGTCCCCTGCCCTGGGATGTTCAGGCCGATGACCATCCACCTCCCACATTTCCTCATCACCTGCCAACATAAGAAGAGATACAACATAAGCCGCTCCACATACTCGGTGTGGGGAAAAGAAATTCCAAGAAACTGGTTAAAAATGGTGGGGAAGGGGATGAGGAAAGAAAACCCAAGAAATGGTTTATCAGCCATACAGAATGAGTCTGCAAAATAACTATCACAAACCAGCAGGAACCGCAATGAAATATTGCAGCACGGAATACTTGCTGCTCCTACGTACTTGCATGGAAAAGCCAGCCACGTCCTTTTCCATGAAACTCCATTTCCCCCTCCTATTTAGCTTTCCATAATAGTCAGGCAAGGTTCCACAGCCACAAAGCGCACGAAGTTGACTGGGCTTTACTTTCTTTTTGTAAATATTTTAGTACTGCAAAGGTATCTGTAAAACCTTTAGAGGTTTTTTCCTTACATAGGCCTGCATTTCTGCAAATGCTGGGCTTTCCCCACACACGCTGGTATCTCCCTTTTGTGCAGCAATGGTGCCGTTTTGATTGCTACTCAAAGAACTGAGGTTACTATTAGTACATATTAGCACATTGCAAAATAAGATAAACATCATGTATTGTTTAAAATGCACGCCCATATAGCAGTGATGGCGAACCTATGGCACGTGGGCCCAAAGGGGCCCGTGATCGCCCCAGCAGCCATGTGCGTATTCAGAAAGATTAAGGGCGCCAGGCAGTGATGTCACACATTAGCTGCGACTCACTGAGCTTTCCCGTGAAAAAGTGAGCTGCCAGGGATTTGCACAGACTATTATTATTAATATTATTATTATTATTAACATTTCTATGCCACCCCTTGCCGAAGCCTCGGGGCGGCTTACAACACAATAAAATACACTGAAATACAATAGAACATAATAAATAATAAACATAATAAATAACTTTTAGCAGGATGCAGGTGGTGCAGTGGTTTAAACTGCTGTGCTGCTGGGCTGGTTGATCGAAAGGTCGCCGGTTCATAACCGTTGTGATTTTAGCAGAAGGCAGGAAAGGTGGGACATACACTCAGATGCCTTTTTCAGGGCCGGCCAAAAGCTGGTGGTCAGTGGAACGCTGCCCCTTGTGCCGGTGGCCAGCAAATTCAGGTTTTATTGCAGTGTTGGCACTTTGTGATAAGTGGGTTCTGAGTTGCAGTTTGGGCACGCGGTCTATAAAAGGTTCGCCATCGCTGCCGTATAGTGTTGTGGATAAGAACACCCACTATATTACGTGAAGGCCTAGTTCCAGTGTATTTTAATTTGGAAGTGTGGCAGTGAAGATGACTAAAATTATTTTAAAATGAAGACAGGATCATTTTTCTCCCTTTCTTAGGATAGTGGAATTTGGAGTTGTCCAGTGAAATGGCAGTCAGCGAAAGTCAGACAGAAGGAAGATCTGGTTCAAGACACATGCACTGATTTACAGTGGGGGCACTGGCAGTTTTTCAGCCCCAAGGCCAAGTTGTTGTTGTTGTTGTTGTTGTTGTTATTATTATTATTATTATTATTATTATTATTATTATTATTATTACATTTTATACTGCCCACAGCCAAAGCTCTCTAGGCAGTTGACAGCAATAATCATAGAATCATACACTCAAGTCACCCATCCCACTTCTGTCCAGGCCTGACCCTGCTTAGCTTCCAAGATTAGGCACGATCAGGCACTTCAGGCTACATTCCAGAAAACCTTGCAGGGTTTCCCCGCATCAGGGGACCAAAGATAAAAGGGGTGCGGCAAAAGCGGGAAAGATAGCAGCATATCTGGGGCGGGGAAAAGAAGCACAGCTGTCTAGGGAACCTTGGGAGGGGGCAGACTGAGACCCCAGGCAGGTGGCACTCCTGGTTTAGAGAAGGGGGCAAAGGGGACCAACTCAGACAGCTCCAAAAAGGGATTCAGTGAACTCATGGCTAAGAAGGCCAGCAACAGCTATTAGATAAGTCAGCTAAATGGAGCTTCCATGTTCAGAGGTAGTGTACCCCTGAGTACCAGATGCTCAGCAACAAGCTCCAAAAAGGGATTCAGTGAACTCATGGCTAAGAAGGCCGGCAACAGCTATTAGATAAGTCAGCTAAATGGAGCTTCCATATTCAGAGGTAGTGTACCCCTGAGTGCCAGATGCTCAGCAAGAAGCTCCAAAAAGGGATTCAGTGAACTCACGGCTAAGAAGGCCGGCAACAGCTATTAGATAAGTCAGCTAAATGGAGCTTCCATGTTCAGAGGTAGTGTACCCCTGAGTACCAGATGCTCAGCAACAAGCTCCAAAAAGGGATTCAGCGAACTCATGGCTAAGAAGGCCGGCAACAGCTATTAGATAAGTCAGCTAAATGGAGCTTCCATATTCAGAGGTAGTGTACCCCCGAGTACCAGATGCTCAGCAACAACGAACAGGGAAGGCCCTCCCGCCAACCTTTTCCAGGATACCCTATTCCATCCACTCATCTAGTTTTACCCCCCCCGCCCCCCCCACAATCATCATCAGCAACTCTGTGGCCAATGAGCAGCTAAGACTCTGTGCTACTCCATAAGCCCCATAGTACAGAACAGGGCTAGGGAAATTGGGCTGCTGCTACCTGTGCAAGGTGAGAGGAGGGCAAAGCTGCTCGGCCTCCACGTCTTGGCTCCTTTCTCAATTAGACAAGAGGGCAGAGGTGCAAGGCCGGCCAGCAGGGGCCTCAGCCAGCCCCTCCGGAAGATGGGAACAAGGCGAAACATACAGAGGAAGCATTCCCAAAAGTTAGCAGCAACAGATCCATACCCAAAGACGCGGCTTCTCTGTCCTCGTCCTCCTCCTTGACAAAAATCCGCCCCTGCCAAGCGCCTGCTGCAACGGCTTCTCCCTCTGAGAAACGGGCCGCCCCGAAGGGCTCCTGCTCCTGAAACAGGAAATGAGGACCCATTCAGGGGCTTGGCGCCGGAGGGGGATCCTGGAAGCGAGGGCCAGGTGGTCACAAAAAAGAGCTTGCCTTCCCAGTTTCTGCACCAGGACAGCGTCAGAAAGGACCGTACCACCTGGGTGCCCAGCAAGGGGCCATGATGTTGTTTGCAAGTGCTCAGACCCCCCCTGGGCTACCATGAGCTGTCCTACCCACGGTGGTCCTGGCAGGGTCACTGAGAAATAAGCCCCACCCAGACCTAAAGCTTAGAGAAAACCAGGCTTTGAGTTGTCCCTTTCCAGGTGCTCAGAGGCAACATAAGCCTCTATCAGGGACCAGAGTTTAGTGCCAGAGCACCTGCTTCGCACCCGACAAGTCCCGGTTCAAATGGGCTGAATCCCATTTCAGGGAAGCTTTTGGGAACTGCAAAAAGGCAGTGCCAATTTATCCCTGTGGAAAAAGGAGGCCACTATTTGGAAAGACAAAAGAGGGTGTCTGGAAGGATGGGTCAATATTTGAATATATTTTTAGAGTATCTTTTAGAGAGAACTTAATTCTGTGTGGGCTGGTTTGAGCCCTGGGTTGTGGTTTTTCCAGAATAAGAAGGATGAGAAAAAAATATGCCCTCCCCCTGCTCTGAACCCTGGCATCAGACAAAACCTTTTTATTCTCCCGGTATTTTAACAATTAATTGGTTTTATCCTTATTTTTTTTACTATTTTAGATGCAGTGTGTTGTTGTTGTTATGGTTTTGTTCTCGGTTTCGGTCCCTTGTAATCCATCCAGAGACTTTTTTAGTAATGGACGGCGTAGAAATTTTTTAATTAAATAAACAAACCTAAAGCTGGAAAAGAGAGCAGAGCTCTGTCTCTGATATATTGGTTTTTGGCAGTGCAGCAGGAGGTGAGCACATTGTGAGAAAGGGAAGGCTTCTTCGTGGCAACTGGGACCAATTTGCTTGGCCACTAAGGTCAGGCAAAATTTATAGACAAAGCGCTACAGTTACTTAGAAATTTCCCTGCATCAGAAAATCAGCAGCGCAGGCAAAGCATTGGGTTAGTCCCTCAGGGGGCTAGTTTTCCATCTGCGGGGAGTTTTATTATTTCCATTGTTATCTACATGGAAGGTCATTGAAAACTGTAACTGCAGTCTTTCACCCGCACTCCAAACTGGCTCACTCTGTATCCCTGAATATGCTTAATCTTGGAAACAACCAATATTGAGCTCCGTACCTGCTCCTCCTTTTCTTTGGCTCCTTGCTGCCTCAGCACAAAACCCTCAGCCAGAGCCACAGCTTGGCTGCAGGTCTCTGGCCCACCTCCTCGGACCCAGTCCTGGACTTCCTTGGGCAGGACAGCCAAGAACTGCTCCAGGACCACCAGCTCCAGGATCTGCTCCTTGCTGTGCCTCTCTGGCTTCAGCCACCGGCAGCACAGTTCCCGGAGCCTTTGGCAAACAGCTCGGGGCTCATCCCCTTCCTGGTAGGAGAACTGCCTGAAGAGCTGCCGCCGGGCATCCCAGCTGCTGGCGTCCTCCTCATCCTCAGTCTCTTCTTTCACCTTTTTGCAATCCGCCTTGCCTTTGGCCGAGAAATCAACCTTGGCTTCATCTCTGCAGAGGCCGGATACGGTCTGGGCCAGCATCTCCTCTCGGCCTCGCTGGCCAATCTCAACTTCATGCTCCAAAGAGGACAGAAAGGCCATATTGCTGTCTCTTGGAAGAGGCTGCAGTATTAGCAGCGAGGGGTTGCCCCCTCTGGACTCGGGGGACTCGACCATCTTTAGGAATTCCTGCAGTTGGGCTTCCCATTGCTGCTGGGGGCCATGACAGTGGTCCTGCCCAACCTCTTGCACCCCATTTCGTTCCCAGAATTCTCTCAGGCGCCCGCTTTGGAGAAGTGGCCTGCCTCCTCCCGAGTCGTGCCATGGTTCCTCGTCTTGCTCCTCCTTCATTCTCTTCATTGCCGCTCGCAATTGGACACCCAAGGCGGACACTTCTCTTTCTCCCTCAGCCATGTCCATCTGTCAGGCCTTGACCCAGCTGTTCCAGTCCCAAAAAGCTGAGGCACACTCCTTGACTAGCAAGCAGGTTTCTCCCTGTGGAAAAGAGAGCGCGCGGACAAAGTTATGCTGAGTTTATACTATTGTTTGTGCAGTTCACTTAGACATTTTATTATATTAACCAATGTGTAAGTATTACCTAAAATAATAAGAACTGTAATAATAAGAGGATATGGCTGGTTGGCTGGCTGGCTGTTATCACTGCAGTACTAAGATCATAAAATTTCTGGCATGGTTGTTTCAGCACCAGGCAAGTAGTTAAAAATCTCCCTCAGTTTTTAAAGATTGTGATTTTAACTCTGAATCACTGATAATCTATTCTTTATTTTCTAAGTTATGTTGGGAAGCTGGTTTGCTGGCAGCTTTGCGGTTCGGTTTTGTTGCTTTGTAGTTATTGAATTACAATATTCATGTGTGATTCTGTGACTTGGTTATTGGACAGCCTATCCAAATGCTGCGTAAATTATTCAGAAATAAACAAAGGGGAAAGCTCTCCATTATCATCTTTATTCTGCATTAACATTTATTTACCAGCAAGACTCCAGGCAGGAATTCAACAGGGGAAGCCTTGCCTGGAAGAAACTGGTAGGCAGGAAAAGGGGAGAGGGGAGGCTTTATCCTGGCTTGGCTTTAACAACCAGCAGTATGGAGCCTCCAGATGTTTTAAACTACAACTCCCATAATCCCATAGACTAGTAATGCTAGCACGGGCTGATGGGAACTAGAGTCCAAAAATCACCTCAGAGTCCAAACACAATGAATTCCAATGCTGCTCTTTCTTATCACCGACCCCCGCCCGACACATTTTCCTCCTCGAGCATCCTGGGAAATGTAGTCACCGTCAGAGTCCGGCTACCGGGACCCTCAAGGGACGAAAGTCCTCCAATATCAGAAACCGGCGGAGAAATGTGATGGATTACGAGTCAGAACAAGATGCTGGTGAAGTCGGTCGTGGAGAAAACTCCGAGATCCGAGATGGTTTCCTTGTTCGTTCCGATAGTTTTGCCAAAAGAGTTTTCCTTTTCTTTCCTTTTTTAAATTTTTGGGTGGCCGGGAGGGAGAGAGCGGCGCCTTGCTTTTGCCCCCACCCCCGCGCCTAAATGCCCTCCTTAACTCCCCCACCGCTTCCCCCTCGCGGAGTCTCCCCCCCCCGCTGCAATCCCCGCCTGGCCTCCCTTCCCACGTGCAGCGCGACTCACCCGCTTCCCAAGCAATAGGATCGCTCCGGCCGGGATGGCCCCGCGTGGGAAATTCAAACGCCACTTTCCCACGGCAGGCGGAGCAAGAAGCGACTTTCCGGGTTATTTACCAGCAACAGCCCCGCCCGTCCTCCTAGCCTAAACCTGAGCCCGTCTAGCCACCGACTCCACGGCGTTAACTCCTTCGTATATAAGACGATCTAGGCTGCAGGGGGTCGGGTAGGGGTCCGGGGAAGACACGCCCCCAACGATCGGGCTGCAAACCCACGAACGCTTCTGCCAGAGCTGATTTCCTTGCAGATGGTGCTTTGGCTGCTACGGACTAACACGGATTTGCTTGTTTTTAAGGGTTGCAAATGCTGGGAATGTATTGCCAGGCTAGGTGCGCTCCTCTGCAGGTTTAGACAGGAAAAAGCCCTACAGCTCCCAGCATTTCACCATATGATTGCACCATAAAATAGGAATCCATGTTATAAAAACTTCTCATTTGAAAAAGAATTGCTTGTCTTTGTTCTTAGGATGTATTGCAGGATAAGCTCTCCAAAATAAGAACTGACACTGGTAAATATCCTGCTACTGCGTGAGGCATCTTAGTGCTGGAACGTGGGAAATCGTGAGAGGCAGTCTCTGATTTGACAGCTCTTTCGGAGTAGAAAACTGCAGGGGCCTTCACGAGTTGCTCATAAAAAAGCACATGAGCACTAGATCACCCCCTTCACAGCAAGTTCCTCAAGGGGTTTGTCTTTTGGAACTGGCCTCTCCTAAGAGTCTAGGTGCTTGGGAAAGGGAAAGAGCAAGCCAGCTCCTTCTACAGGAGTGGGGAGCCAGCTATCAAAACGTTTGTCCCTTTAAAACCTTAATTAATTAAATTTCTATACTGCCCCACAACTTTTAAAACTCTTTTGTATTCTTTTGACAGGGCTCTCCGTCGGGGGGAGGGGGTTGGCAGATAACCTGGACCTGGACCAGGTTGGCAATAACCTGGACCTATTAAATCCAGGTCCAAAAACAAAACAAAACAAAACACCCTCAAGGATCTCGCCATAAAAGAGGTGATCTAATTGTGAACCAGCAGCAGCTGCCTCTCCACAGCCCAGTCCTCTAAAAGGAATGTCACTGACTGTCAGATTGGAGATTGCTTTTTCAGATCTCTGGGGAAGGGGAAAGTAAAGGCGGAATAAGCTGCTGCATCTCCAAAAAAACTTGTGATTCAGAAGGGGAGGACAGAGAAGAGAGATCCTGACATAAGATCCCTTGGGATACACATAGGAGGACCAGGGGCTACAAGAATCAAACTTGCCCACTCTCTCTTGCAGGGTTGCTCTGAGGATAAGAGGTGGAGAAACTGTGTAGGCTCCCTTGAGCATCTTGGAGGGAAGGCAGGATATCAGTTGAATGCATACATCTAAAAATTGCAATTAGATTAAATTGCCCCCAAAGGAAGACTGGGCCCAATTGCTCCTCTTCCCCCAAATTATCAGGGTGCTGTGTATATTTAACTGGTAAAAAGAAAGAAAAATAAAGAATAAGCAGAAGCAAAGTCTGCAACAAAGACTTGTCTTCTTTCACTTGAGTTCCTCTAACTAAGCACATCACTATCCACTTGGCTGGAAACCTGAGCTTTATAAAAATGTCATTTTGAGGAGGTTGCCTGTGATTTTGTGATACATTTTGGGAGAAGGCTATTTATTTAATTTCTATGCCACCCAAAAGCCAAGGCTGTCTGGGCAGGGAGCGACCGCTGCATCTCCCCAAGGCAGCCAGTACTTGCAAAAAGCTCTGTTTGCTCCTCCGGCTTCGTGCCATGTCGGCAGGGTTGGACCGACATTGCTGAAACACAGGCAGGCGTGTAGCAACTTGCAAGCTTCCAATCCAGCCAGCAAATATTCCCGCTCCTTACCTTGCAGCGAGGCCCAGCGTGGCGTGGCGTGTGGGTGAGAGTGCTGGATCAGGGACCCAGGAGATCCAGGCTCCAGTCCCCACTCGGCTATGACGCTCCCTGGGAGACTTTGGGACAGTCACTCGGCCTGACCTACCTCACAGGGTTGTTGTGAGGCTAAAATGAAGCGAAGCAGATGTATGTGAGCTGCCTTGGTTTCCTTGCAAGAGGAAAAATGTGGGATATTGAGTCTGCCAAAAAATGTATACACACGTCAGGAAAAGAAAAACTTGTATAAATATTTTAATACTAAATTTATTGAGACATCATGAAACTAATTCAAGTTACTTTTCGTCTCTGCAATTACAGGAGGTGCTCAAAGTGGTGACTATTAGCCAAAGTGCTCAGAGTGTCCATTCGGATTGCTGCACACGTGTGCATTTTTGGTGGACTCTGTATATGTCGTCGTTACTTGTCATCAAGTTATCTCTGACTCGTTGCAACCCTACAAAGGGAAGCTCTCCAGAATGTCCTGTCCTTCGCAGTCCTTCCCAGCTCTTGCGGACTGGAGGCTGTGGCTTCCTTTACGGAGCTGATCCATGGCATAGCCGGTCTTCCTCTTCTGCTTTTGACTTTCCTGAGCATTACTGTCTTCTCCAGGGAGTCTCACCTTCTCATGATGTGCCAAAAGCCTGTTTTGTCATTTTTGCTTCTAGGAAGAGTTCTGTCTTGATCTGATCTAGGATTCACTTGTCTTTCTGTCAAGTTTAACAATGATGATGATGCAAACATAAAACCCTTGTGGGACTGGAAGTGGGGGAAAGGAGGGCATGATCTTCCAAATTTAACCAAATTTAGCTGTTGGGGGCAGCGTGTCCTCCACTGTTACCAACACAGATCTCCAACATGGAGCTAAAGTCACCAGTTTCAAATGGCCAAATCATCTTTCTTTAAAAAGGACATAAACAGTACAGAGTCTGTGCATGCTAATTTTTATGTACTGATGCAAATTTAGAAATTGTAATCGCTGTATAAAAAGACAAAACGCATTTCGCCACAAGGAGGAAGGCTATGACAAAATGGCTTGTCCTAGTCGTTCGTACTGATTGGGCAGCTATACTGGACGGATCCCACTGGATGAATGGCAAGGTCACTGAGGTTCAACAAGTTGTGTGGTGAACTGTCACATCATCCAGAAGTTTCTTGGAGCCACGTCAGGCCCTTACATATAGGCTCAACTTGTATTATTAGTTAGAAAGCACACTAGAGAAAATGTCCTTAAAGCTGCCTTTACCAGTATTCCAGCTATGCTCCTTAGATAAGGGTTGCTTTGCTGTGAGAAATGAAACGGTTGGATGCAAGATGCTATTCTTGTTAAACGCAGCTTTGCTCCCCTTTGTTTTCCAGGAAGGGGAATCAACCTATGTCTTAAAGACGCCCTCTGAAGCATAGAGATTTTTTAATTCCTCGCAGACACCTTTTTTCTCTGTTCTTGGCTTGGAGACAGAAATTAGCATATTGCTTGTCCAGGCAAGGGACGTCCCCTGGTCCATCTAGGGATCATGGGGCTGCAAGTCCCCCTCCCCCCATTTATTGTTTATATGTGGCATCTATATTCCCACTTTGTAATCAATAAACTTAGCATTCTTCCACAGAAGGAATCTCACTTGGTCTCCTGAATCTACCTTCACTGGATACTGGAGTGGATCAACTTAAGCTTGAAATGAAAAAGGGACTGTAGAGGAAAAGAAGGGAAAGGAGGAGCAAGACAGCAAAGTACTGGCTAGCCCAAAAAGACAATAGATGCCGCCCAAGCCTGAATTTAATTGTCATATTCCCATCTATCCGGGCAACTAAATCAAGGAGCAGGCTTTCCCCCTCTTCCATCCAAAACTCTTTCCTTGTGCCATGTTTCTTTTTAGATGGTAAGTTTCAAGGTAGGGATTTTCTGATTATTGATTTGTGTAAGCCACAAAAAAATGCTTTCAACAGATCATCTGCCAAGACTCCTGCTCCCCTTTCTCAGTCTTTGAGTTGGATTTGAACGGAGCATCCCTTCAAACAGAGGATACCTTCATCAGAGAACCACCTTCTAACGGAGAACACACAGCCACCTTCTATGAAGCTGCTACTGACCCTATAACCGAAAAAGCTGCTGCGGGGCTTGTAGGGTTCTTGTTTATCCTCAGTGTGATCACATCAAATGTTTGTATAAGGGGAGAACGATCCTGGCAGTTTTATTTCCATTTCCTTTCCTAATGATTCGTAGCATGGAGCTTGCATAATTGTCCACCACAGCCTCAAGAGCCCTTTCTTGATCAATCACTGCTAGCTGAGAACCCATCATATACTTGAGGTTGGAAGGTTGGAAGATGCCCCAAGATGCATCCCTTTAGAGTTGCTTACATAGAACGGCATTTGTCATTCGGACGCCAAGAGAGAACCCTTCAGAATTCCTCCTTAACCTTACAATTATTTAACACTTAAATAATTTAGTGTCATCAGCAAACCTGGCCAATTTAGTGCTAACTTCTACACCCAAATCATGTATGAATCAATGGGAAAGCGTTGATCCTAAAACCTGTAGGACCCCCCTCAATTGGAAGGCATTTCCATTGATTCCCACGCTTTGCTTTCTATTCTCTAACCAGTTAATTCCATGACTGCTACATTTGCTCGGGAGCCTTTTGTGATGGACTCCATCAAAAGCCTTTTGGAAGTCCAAGCAAAGAATGTCTACCAGATCACCCCCATCCATGCGCTGATCGCCACTTTCGATGAATTCTAAATGGCTAGTGACACAGGACTTAGCTTTCCAGAAGCCACGCTGATTCTTTTCAGCAAAGCTTATCCCTCTAAATGCTCACTGGTTCTACCTTCAGTAATGCTTTCAACCAGTTTACTGAGAACAGATGTTAAGTTAGCTGGCTTGTAATTTCCCAGAACCCCCTGGATCTCTATTAAAAATTGGAGTTACATTAGCAGACAAACCCAGCGCTCACTGCATTTCATTTCCATCATGACTGGTTTATTGTAATGTCCAAAGCAAGTCCCCTAACAATTCCTGCCAAAATTGCCACAGGAAAAACAAACCATGTCACTTAAACAATGAATCATATATCCTCGGGGAAGGCATGGATGGGAAAAAGGTCCAATTCTCAACTTTTTTCTTTCTTTTTATCGCCAGGGGTATCAAAGGATGGAAGACAGATTGACAGAGATTGATGCAAACTTCTCCCCTCTTTCAGATCATTTCTTAGTTTGGTTTGTGTGTTCCAGCGATGGATCCATCTCCTTCACAAGGTGCAGAAAATGGAGGAATCTGATGCAGGTTAGTGAATCTAAGATGGAAGTCTTACATATCTGCAGGACATAGAAATTGTAGTTGTCCTACTGTGGAAGACTTGCAGGATTCAGACTTGTGCGATATAATTTTTAAAACTTTTTTAGCTAGTACCAAGCGATCCATCAAGTGCAGCTTGGTGAAAAAGACACGAACTTAGAATTATGGATTTCTGAGCCCAGGAATTTATTTCTGAGTACCACAACTACACAAAGCTCACAGAGCTTCCACAAAATGCCCACTCATGGTTACCTCAGGCTTTTTCATTTCAGCAGGCCAGGCCAGGAAGCAGATGGGGAGAGATTTCTCTTGTTACTGCTATGGTTAAATACTTGGGGGCCAGGAACCCTTGCCAGTCTACTGCAAATCCTCCAGGATCTATCTGAAGATCCAGATATACCTTCTGTTCACCCAGATATACCTTCTGTTGCTCCAGATTGTCCTGCATCACAGATGTTTTGGCCTACAACTCCCCGAATCCCTCACCATTAGCTATGCTGGCTAGAGCTGATGGGAGTTGGAGACACTTATAGAGGGTCATCATTCAGAAAGTCTTTTAAGAAAGTAAAGGGCAGCTAAAACAAGATTTTGAAGCCTTGTCTTTCCAAAATTTTGTTCTAATGCAAAATAGTTCATGTTAGTTTCTTGCTCCCGTCCCTCATGGTTTGTCCCCCCACCCCCCAACAAATATCCCATTTTTAGACCTGGAAACATGGAAAAAAGAACTCGGGGCGGGTGGGAGAGATTCTTTGCCCATTCTCCTAATTTTTCAATTATTTTCCTCCTTGGGCCTTCCAAGCATTAGAGCTCTCCCATCACTGGGCTGGATTCAGAGTTTATCTATTTGATTTATTATTATATGTATATCCCTCTTTTTCTGCCTTCCAAGGAACTCATTCTCCTCTTCCTCTCCACCTTATCTTCATCACAACAACACTGTGAGGTAGTTGGGCAGAAAGTCTGCGAATGGCCCAAAGTCGCCCAGTGAAATGAGTGGGGACTAGAACCCAGATTGCCGGAGTCTCGGGCCAGCACACTTAACCACTACACTGGTTCACACGCCGGCTCACGGTAGTTGGGTTAGACAGGATTGGGATAGACCAGTTTTCTGACACAGGAGTCCACTTTGAAATGCAGATGCTCATCAAGGCCGTCCCTATAGTTACACTACCTTGAAGGGTCCAAATAGGCAATCTGCCCCAGGAGTTTTCTTTTCCAGCAGGAACAGCTCATTGGGTCAAAGTCAACACAGGGCCACACCAGAATATAGCACATTCTGGAAAGGATCACTCCAAACCATATCCTGTTCCTGGGAGAATCCATACCCACTGCCTATCCACTGTGAGGATCACAGAGGGGTGTGGCCAAGGACATTGACTCCCTGGACCTTCCTAGGTTTTAGTGACACAGATATGTGGCAGCCTTTCCTACCCTTCAATTCCTTAGATAAGGGTTGCTTTGCTGTGAGAAAAGAAACTGTTGGACACAAGATGCTGTTCTCATTAAGCACAGCTGCGCTCCCCTTTGTCTCCCAGAAAGGGGAATCAATCTCATGTCTAAATGTTAATTTGCCACCTCCAAAAGGACACCTTCAGGTGAAGTTAGCTGTCATTCCCATTTCTCAGAACGGGGAGAGCTCAGGCTGACAGAAAGGGATTCCCCCCATGTCACAGAATTTGTCCATGGCACTGGAGGCTGGTCTCCAAAATGGGGTCCCTTCATCACCGAGACCGAGTTCGCCCCTCTCCTGGCTTCCAACCCCTTCAGTGGCTTCTCGCTGCTATGGATCCGCTCATGTCGAATGAGAGTTGATTGGTGGCTAAAGCTTTTCCCACACTCTGAGCACCTGTAGGGCTTTTCGCCTGTGTGGGTCCTGTTGTGTGCAATCAGGGAGGAGCGGTCACTGAAGCTCTTCCCACAGTCTGAACACGAATATGGCTTTTCTCCCGTGTGTGTCCTCTTGTGTGTTGTCAACGTCGAGCGGTCACTGAAGCTCTTCCCGCAGTAGGGGCACTTGTATGGCTTCTCCCCGGTGTGTATTCTCTCATGTTTAACCAGGTGTGGCCGCTGGCTGAAGCTTTTCCCGCAGTCTGAGCACTTGTAGGGCTTCTCACCTGTGTGAGTTCTCTCATGGAGGATCAGGTGCGAGCGCTGGCTGAAGCTTTTCCCACAGTCCAAGCACCTATAGGGTTTCTCCCCAGTGTGGATTCTTTGATGTGTAATAAGGACGTTTCTTCTGCAAAAAGTCTTCCAGCAAACCGTGCATTTATACTGGGACTCTCCTGTCAGAGATCTTTCATGCACAATGAGATCAGATCTCAGTCTGAGAACTTCCCCCAGTGGAAGTCCTACATTTTCCCTTCCAGCCTTGAGGATCACTGGCTGCTGTGCTCCGTTGTCCTCCAGATCTTCATATCCACCCTGAGAATTAATGAATTTCCCCCCTTGTACTTCTGGATTCTTTCCACGAAGGCTCTCAGACGCTTCCACTCGGCCACGACGACAGGCAGCATTCCTGTCGGCCTCTTTGGGCAACGCTGCAAACAGTTCTGGATCCTCGGGCTGGCCCGGCTGCGTTTTCTCCTGCCGATGGGCTCTCTCAAGACATGCTAGTGTGGGGAAAGGGTGCGGATAAACATGATCAAGCTCTGCTGAGAAGAAACCAGGATTCAAATCAGGTTTAACACACGAGGAAAGACCACCGTGTCCACATTGTTCCCCCAGCTGCTCCCCGTTGCCACATCAGCACTGCCTTTCACAATCCCCCTAGTCACCACAGGTGATCAGAAATTCTGAGTAGGCGAGTGAATTTGTTGACTGGTGGAGGGACAGATTTCTTCACTCCTCCTCTAACCACTCCCCTGGATTCTCTAGTAGCTGCTGGGGTAGGGGAAATTCCTCCTCTATACATGATGCTAAGTAGTTTTCTAACTAGCCTGCCAATTAATTCATTATATCTTTGTTACATTTATATTCTGCCTTTCATCCAAGGAGCCCAAGCCATGATCCTCCTCCCTCTGCTTTTATCCTCACAGCAATGGAGCATGGTAGATTAGGCTGAGAGTCAGTGCCCAAGTCACTCAAGTGAGCTCCATGGCTGTGTGGGAACTTGAACCCAGGTCTCCCCAGACCTCATCCAATGCTCTAACCACTAGGAAACACCACTAACAGGCTAACATCCTTTTAACATATAAAAGAGAGCCAGTGTGGTGTAGTGGTTAAGAGCATGGGACTGGGACTCAGACGATCTGGGATCTAGTCCCCGCTCGGCCATGGAGCCACCTGGGTGACTTTGGGCCAGTCACAGACTCTCAGCCCAACCTACCTCACAGGGTTGTTGCTGTGGGGATAAGATGGAGGAGGAGACTGATGTAAGCTGCCTTGAGCCCTTTGTAGGAACAAGGCAGGATATAAATCGAAAAATAAATAAATAAATAAATAAAAAAAATAACATCCTGGCTGTCCATGTTGCTTACTGAGAGCAAGGCTTGTGGTAGCATAGAAACACAGGCTGTTGGCCATCTAATAAAAGAGAAGCATTGCAGGTGCTTAACTTTGGTGGGGTAACTTGCAAAACGAATATTACTGATCTATGCAATTCTCTCCGGCTCACAGGGAAATATTTGCATGGAGCGCGATGGACAAATCAGAGCCAAGATGTTTTCCTGCCAAAGGCAAAGAACCTGGTCCCATTCCCTGTACAGAAGCCCTTTTTTCAAGACAGAACCTCTTTCTGCGACACCTTCCATCACCCGAAGGCAGCTGGTTGCTTCAGGGGCCATAGGAGAGGCCGCCTGGAACACGATTCCCCCTCCGACACCTGCTCGCCCCCTCCCAGAGGGCACCCCCTCATCTTGCCTGTGTGTCTCCCACTTCACTGTCGCCCTCCACTCACAACAATATTACAGCGCTGTGGACTTCGGAAATTTTCTTTTGGTATAAAGGAAGGCCGGCTGAAGACAGAGCAGAAGGCAACTGCGGATTGGACTGGAAAGAAAAAATGTTTGTGTGTGTGATTTCGTTCATAAATCAAAAGTCGTCTGCTCCTTGGGAGGAAAGCTGTGGCAAATCTAGACAGCAGTGCTTTTTTTTTGTCATAGAACGCACCGGAACGGAGTTCCGGCACCTTCTGTCGACAGATTTTCTAAGTTTTAAAAGTAACTTTTGAAAAATTGATGTTTGGTCCACATGGATTTGAATCGCCCTGTCGAGTGTAGCAGGTTGGTGGCAAAATAATTAATACAGTGCATGTGGGCTGCTTGTGTGTCGAATTCGATGCACGCGTACTTTGTCCACGCTGGTTGTGATGGCGCTGCTCGGCTTGTGGTTGGTTGTGTGGTCGCATGCTGAGTGCTTACTGCAGGCGGCGACCATTATGTTTCGTTACACAACTGACACGTGTGGGTGTGTGTACAGTGGTTGACTACGTGTGAAAGATAATTTCATGAGTTCTAGCACCGTTTTTCTTACAAAAAAAGCACTGCTAGACAGCATACAAAAAAGCAGAGACATCACCCTGCCGACAAAAGTGCGTTTAGTCAAGGCTATGGTTTTCCCAGTTGAAAGGGATGGCTGTGAAAGCTGGACCATAAGGAAGGCTGAGCGCCAAAGGATTGAGGCCTTTGAATTGTGGTGCTGGAGGAGACTCCTGTGAGTCCCTTGGACTGCAAGGCAATCAAACCAGTCAGTCCTAGAGGAGATCAACCCTGACTGCTCTGTAGAAGGCCAGACACTGAAGAGGAAACTCAAATACTTTGGCCACCTAATGAGAAGGACGGACTCCCTGGAGAAGAGCCTAATGCTGGGAACAATAGATGGCAAAAGAAGGAGGGGACGGCAGAGGATGAGGTGGCTGGATGGAGTCACTGAGGCAGTTGGTGTGAGCTTAGGGGGACTCTGGGAGATGGTGGAGGACAGGAGGGCCTGGAGGAATGTTGTCCATGGAGTCGTGATGGGTTGGACGCAAATTTGCAACTAACAACAACATTCCTAATGCACTGCACATGACAAAGGTGATTTATTATTCCACAAATAAATACAAATTAAGTCATCTAAAATGTCGCATTTTATCATCATCAGTGTGACAGAATGCGGTACTGAGTTGTAAACACACAACTTCCAGTGATCAGTTTGGCACTGCTGGTTAAGAAATATACAAACCAAGTGGCAAGCTTGGTTCAGGACTGCACAGCACCCGAGGCAAAAGAAGCGGTAGTGGGGAGATCAGGACAAAATAAGGAAAGACTTACCCAGTGAGGTGGCATCTTTGTTGGCCTCTTGTTTGATCTCGCTGAAGAGAGAGCTTCGCAAGGCTTCCGGTGGGGCCTGCCCCACCTTGGAAAGTGACTCCTGGAACCACACATGAAACAGCAAGGGGGAAGGCCTCAGATTAAAGGGCAAGGAGCACGGAGAGTATTTACTCAGTAAAAGTATTCCTGTGTCAGTTTACCAAAAGGCCAAAATTATTAAAGCACAAATACAAAAAGTATCCCCCACACACAAGAACCCCAAAACAAGTGAAAAGTCACAAAAGTTTTTAAAAAGTGGCAAAAACAGGTTGAAGAATTAAAACGGTATCTAAAAAGCTCAGGAAAATAATGAATTTTGCCTGGTGCAGGAAGGACAATAAGGGAGGTGGCTCGATGGACCTCTTTGGCAGAGTGCCACCACCAAGAAGGCCCTGTCTCTGGTATCCACTCGTCTTACCTCTGATGGCAGAAAGCCCTCCAATGGAAGGAAAATTAGGGGATTGACAGAACCATCTTATGGGTCCTGGGAGGATATAACCGGTTCTCTCCCCTGACACCATCAAACCCAAGGGATCCAGAACCTATTTAAACCTAAGAGTTGAATTCCACTTCAGAGAAGTACCCTGGGATCTGCACTCCAGTGGTGGAGGCATTTCAGCATTTTATAACTGGAAGCAAACTGCACAAAACCCGGGAAACTACCAAACAGTTTATCGTTCTTGGAAAGAAGGTGGGCCTTGGAAGATCTGAACATACTATGCAAAGATTAAATGAACAATAATATGATCCCACGTGCCCATCTTTCCTTTTATTTCAAAGCTAATACAGGACATTATTTGCATAATTAAATAAGTGGAGTTATTTAAACTGATTTTGCTTGGGAAGAAAGGAGTCTTATTTATTTACGGACATATGTGCCTCCTAGGCCCATCCACCATTCCGAAGGCTTCAGACCAAGCTGTAACCCACAATACAACAAATAAAAAATGTATTGAGCACCTGGCACTGACACTTTTTTTCATTTTGGCCCCAGGCCAAAACCCTTTTATTTCCCCCATTATTTTAAATGTTAATGGAGTTGTAAGATTGGATTTTATTTATCGCAATTTTGATGCTGTATCTTATTTATGTTATTGTATTACTGCCCTGAGACATTGTGAAGGGCGGGTAACAGCTTTAAATAAAATGAATGAATAAATAAATATTGTACATTCAAGGGAAATGGATACAATCCAAATAGTGAGGTGATTAAACTTCAGAAGAAAGGACCATTTTGAGCCAATCTTTCCCAGTCTGGTAACTTCCTAGCTGTGCTGGATTTCAGTGTTCATCATTCCCAGCCAGCTCCTCGAATTCAGCCCAGCTAGAGGTTGAGAAGTTGGGAAACACAGGCTTAAAATGATCTTTTATCCACAGTCCTTTCTTCTGGCACCAGGGAAGGCTGCTGTTAAAGACAACAAGCAAGACGGAGGGAACTGGCTTTGACCCGCTGGGGAGGACGGCTGCCCATCACAGAGCAGAGTATTTCGCAAAATTGGTGCAGCCACCAACAAGTCCCCAGCTCTCATCAGCATCAACGGGGCCTGCCCACTAAACGTGGCACCGAGAGACCGTCTCTCCTTCTAACTGGGGCAGGTATCCCGCTTTCCTGCCGAAAGTCACCCCTACCTGCTTGCTGCTTGCGCCCAAAGGTGTCATTTGCAAAATAAAAATAAGTGGCCAGCCAGGTTGCGGCAGAAAACTTGGGAACACATTCTCAGTTGCCTCTCCACTGTACCTTTTCCCACTGAAATAAGAGAGACCAAGTTGAGCACACTGGTTTAAGCACGTGACTAATATTTATTTCTTATATTTGTCACGCTATTTGTTTGCTTATAATGTCATGGAATTGACTGCATCAAGGAAGACACAGCCTTGAACTTAGAAGAGCTCAGCATGGCTGTCAAGAACAGGGCATTTTAGGTCACCGTAAGTCAGAGATGACTTGACACCACGTAACCATGACAACCTCACATAACCTTTTGCTCTCGGACAAAAAGCTTTTTCAGTGACAAAGGGCATGGATTTACTGCCATTAATAATCATCTGTGCTTTTGAGCAGTAATTCCTGCTACATTTAGATCTTGCTTTCTTTTCCTCTTGTAAGGAATCCAAGCTGGACCCTATGATCCCCTGCCTCTCCAGTGCATCCTCAGAACAACAACCCTGTGAGGTAGGTTAGGCTGAGAGCGAGTGCTTGGCCCCAAGTCACCCAGGAAGCTTCATGGCCAAGTGGGGACTAGAACCCGAATCTCCCGAGTCCCAGTCCAACACTCTCACCACTGCACCACACTGCCTCTCCTCAGAGCCACCTCCAATTCTCTCACCTTTCCTGTGTGTTTCTTGCCCTCTCCCTGGCTCAGCAGGAAACCCTCGGCCAGGTCTACCACTTGGGCACAGGTCTCTGGACAGCAGTCCTTGACCCAGCTCTGCATCTCCGGGGGCAGGACAGCCAGGAACTGCTCCAGGATCACCAGCTCCAGCATCTGCTCCTTGCTGTGCCTCTCCGGTTTCAGCCACTGGTGACAAAGCTCCCGGAGACGGTTACAGACCTGCCGGGGCCCCTCAGCCTCCCGAAAGCCGAACTGCCTGAAGCGCTGGCGTTGGAGGTCGAGGCTGACGCCTTCCTCTTCCAGGATCTCCTCCTTCACCTTCCCACAGGCCCCGGTGTCCTTGCCCAGCTGGCCGTCCTCCAGCTCTTGAGGTTCCTTGCCAGAGCTTGTGGGGAGCTGCATCTGTTTTGCCCTCCTCAGGTGTGGCCGGGGGTCCACCGAGCCCTCAGAAGGGGCCCCGTCCCTTAATGCCAAGGTGCTTTGATGCGGGTCCCTCCCTTGCGAGTGGGAAGACTCCATCGATTTCAGGAAATCCTGCAGCTGGGCTTCCCACGGCTGCGGCAGCCCCCTCAGCGGCTTCCATTTCAGGTGGCCAGAGCCTTTTCTTTCCCAGAATCCCTTCGTGCTCACCGCCTGGATGGAAGTTCGGCCTCTTCCAGCTTCTTCCTCCATTTCGGCCGGATTGGGCTCCTCCGCTTTCATTCTCTGTTTCAGCACAGACTCCAGAGACACCTTCAGGGTCCGTGTAGCTCCTTGCTCGGTGGTCATTTTGTCTTCCAAGCTGTTGGTGGGCTACACCGGAGCCCCTGCAGCGGGCTGAGCAAAGTCCTTTCTCCACTTCCCCGCTCAATGCAAAGTGGTGCACACACCAAATGCGAAATTCTTAACGAGAGAGGTGCTTCTTCCTGACAGGGTGGAGTGTCACAGGAAAAAACGCGTAACCCTCCTGAACAATGTCTTAAAAAAGGATTGCCTAAAAGGCAAAAGATAGGTGCGATCTGAAGAGAAACCAGAGTATTAATTTAACTTAGCATATTTTTAACTAAGCATTATTATGTTAAAATTGCAGTTCTAGATTTGGTAGATGTAATAATTACTGCCAACTTTTGGTGATATTTCACACATTTAGTATTACCATATATGGAATTTATGTGCAAGGTCCCTTGATATTTTTTTTTCCTTTTCAACGCATTATTTCTTTTTGTTTATCTATAAAAAATAAAAAAGATTACATAGCTTTTCTGATTTTTAAAAATGATTGCAGAGACACCATTTTTTCTCTTGCATATTTTCCTCCTCCTCCCTATCTTCTCTTCACAACAACTCAGTGAGGCGGGTTTCCAAACTGTCCATGCAACTTGCTGGATGCTGTGCTTGTTTTGTTTATTTTATTGTTTTGTTCTTTATTGTAAGCCGCCTCGAGAAGTCAGTGGTGGATGGGGTAGAAAAGTTTCAAATAAATAAATAAATAAAATAAACTTGCAGTTTTCCTGCAAACATTTCCCAACTGGCCAGGTGGTGTGTGGACCAGACCAATGGCATTCACCAGCATGCATTCATTTGAAAAATATGCGTGAAAATTGGGCAGTTTTGAAAAATGAGCAGTAATCTGCTTTTAGACACAATCCCATGCATGCTTTGATTGCAAATGGGGTACAGCTTGTTTATGCTGTGCACCTTTTCTCTCTTTCTACACAGGCATAACATTGTGCCCTTAATCAGTGGGCACAATTAAAAGATAAGCACAATTGATCTGTGCATATGCAAAAATACACATGGATTTTCACAGGAGAAGAAAAGACAAAAGCTCGCCAAAGGATACAGACAGGAAACATAGAAAAGCCACGCTGGATCTGACCCAGGGTCCATCCAGTCCAGCAGCCCCTTCACATGGTGGCGAACCAGCTGCTTACCAGATCCCCCAAGCAGGAAGGGTGCAAGACCTCCTCCTGCCCGAGATGCTCAGCAACTGATTCATGCAGGCAGGCCACCTCTGCTGAAGGAGGATGCGCTCAGCCAGTATTTTCTACATCCAAGAATGAGTCAGAATACGTTTCAAGATGGAATTTGGAGAACTTCGTCACGCCGGAATTTGAGGCAGAAGATGCTAGTACTTGGGGACTTGGTCTTTCTACTTGCAAACCCCAATCTATAGGCATTCCCTTTAAGAATCTTTCTCCTTTACGATTCACAAATTAGCAAACAAGCTAACGAAACACGCACATTAAAAATAAAAGACGCTATGATTTGAAAACAAAGAATTGGGCATCCATGAAATCACTGCAGTATCGATCCGATTTTATTTAGTGATTTTATGTTGCACTGCTTTGCATAGCTCTGTTTTCATTTTTATCTTCCAAGCCATGCTGGCTGGGCACGATGGATACTGAGGTTCAGCAAGTCTGTAGAGCACCCGGTTCAGGACAGCTGATTTACAGGCTTTCTTCCCCTAATGATTTTGGACGGAGGCTGCACTAGGGGATGCACTAGTCCTCAAGAAATCGCCGGGGGAAAGGTATGAGATCTCGCTGCAGCAAGTCCATGCCAAAACATTCACTCACCTGATCTCTCCAACAAGGCTGTGCCCTGCCCTTTTTCTTTAATTTAGCCTTGACCGCGCCTGAGAAATTCAAACTCGTCTTGGATTTCCTACAGTGGATGAAAAGGGAAATGACCATAGAGATTTAACCCCCCCCCCAAAAAAAACAAAACCCTTATAGAGCAGAGAAAGAAGGAGAGGGAGAAAATTGGAGGGATGCATCTCATCTGTCTGGATAGCCAATTTTCGAGTTCGCATAGCAAAAGCCATTTTTAAATCTAGCGTGGAAGTGAGAGATGATCGCAAAAATGAATGGAGAAATTACCTTGGCTGTGTGGCACCAGGAAAAAAAAGGAGAGCAGCAAAGAACTGCGTTTGCCGTCTTTCTTAATTTTTTGTGAAGCCAATCCGATTATTTGCCTTAGCATTGTACCATTTAAAAACCAACCCTGCCAGGGCAAATGTGCCTCTAAATACAGTCCGTTGTCCGTATTGTACTTGCAGGCGCGCGGGGGGATCTGTGACTGAAACGGAGCTACAGAGTTAGTACTGCGGGCAAGGAAGCCCGGCTGAAGGCGAGACAGAGTGGCTCGAAACGACAACCCTGCAATGTAGTTCAGTCACTGCGCCGCCTTTTGTGAACTGGGAATCGGGCAGTGGCTGCGACAATTTATGAACTGTATTTATTGGGTTTTTATGTACGTGCCGAGATGTTTCGGTTTTTTAAGTCTAATTATATAACTGTTTATTTATGTTTATTTAATGTTGTAAGCCGCCCCGAGGCTTTTTGCGAATGGGGCGGCATAGAAATGGTTTAAATAAATCAATAAATAATCCCTGCAGAGTAGTGCATTCCTGATGTCCCAGCATTGCAGTTCGGAATCGGAGACTAGATACAGCAACCTCCCATGCTAATTTTCCTTTTGTTGCAGGTTCTGCAGGGGTGTTGGGTTGAGGTTGGCTTGGATTTCCAGCCTCCCCCCCAAAAAAATCCCGTTCCAAATACTCCTTTTAGGTTGCAGCAAATATCAATTATTTCAGCGGTGGTCAACTTCCAGGAATCTAGTGCCCCAGACCCTATTCCGCCTGGATACTCCCAGGAAAGTGATTTTGCTTCAAAGCAAGACACTTCTTATTTTAAAGAGAAGCTGATGCACGCGCGGCTTCCACGTGGTCACATTTCAGCAGTGGTGCTTTTTGTTTGCATAATGTTCAGCTGCAGTCCTGATTTTGAAAATTCTTCTTTGGCTTTCCTCAGGAGTCCTTCCAAATCCATTGCAATTGGCTACATATTTTAGTAATGTATCTTCCGTCAATTTTCACTCCGTTTTCCTCTGATCCTCAACCAGCTTTTCTTATAAGTTCTGCAAACAGATTGAACGGAGAGGGAGATAAAAATGCACCTTTGCCTATAGGAAATTATTCTGTTTCTTGCACTGTATTTACGTGCCACTCCCCCATCCCGCGCTTGCAAGGGGTCCTTCTTGATCCTACTTTATCCTCACAGCACTCTTGTGAGGTAGGTCAAGTTAGGTTGTTCCCCAGTAGTCTGTAATGGCCATGTGAGGATTAGAAACCTCATCTCCTGAGAGTCCCACACCCTAACCACTAGGCAACACTGATCATTCTTATGTTGACAGCAAAAGCCACCTTTATCATTATTCCTATTGTTAGAGTGTGTGAGGGAACGCAAATGAGGCAAATGAGCTCACAACGAGAGTAAAATCTTGGCTTCCTCGTTGATGTCTACGACTCGCTATCAAAGCAGCGCGAAGCAGGGAGGGAAATAAACTATGAGACCATCGATAGAGCCCGCATATCACTCTTCAATTTTACTATCTCTGCGATAGCCACGCAAGTGTGCAAACTTCCGGTATGACGTTGCAAGCGGCTACTGGCCCATAGAGATAGAAGAGGTCGAGGCGAGCAGCTTCACTCTGTTCCGGGTTGATTTGGGCTGCGGGGGGTCGCGCTGACGTGGATATCAGTCCCATGCGCTGCGCGGGCCCTACTCCCAGGGAGGCGCGCACAGAAAGGCAGCTGTGCGGTGCAGCCGTGTATGTGTCTACTCAGAAGTAAGCACCATTGAGTTCAATGACGCTTACTCTCAGGTAAGCGGTGCAAGATCTCAACCTCTGGCTGGCAATCCTGCACGCCCTTGCCTGGGACAATATCGCACGGAAATGAGCGCGGCTCACTCCGGAGCAAGTCACAAGCCCCTGAAGCGAAGGCACAAGGAACGACCTCAGCTGGCTGGCGTTAATGACCGTACGTACTGTCCTGCTGGGGACAATGGCAGCTGTAGTCCAGCACATTGTTATGGAGTTACTATGCAAATACTGCGCTTTTAACTACCAATGCTAATGCTGCATTGCTTTATACTTCCTGTTCTTACCTTTGACCAGGATGCAATAAGTCCTTCATGACTCCTCAGACTAACAGCCTGCAGTGTTCTCAGTTCTATACATGAAACATGGTGTCAGAAGTGATTTGGATCTGGACAGACCCTCTTGTTTGGAGGGCAGCAGCCCCGGGACACAGCACTGATTTGTGAGTTACAGCTTGAGACCGTTCATTGTGCATTTTCTGATACTGGAGGGCTCTGAGGCTTACCGACCGCATGGCTGCTATGAATTGCATACCTCCCCCAGTGGGGATGAAAATCGGTGGGGATTGTAGCAGCAACTGGGAAACTTTCAGAGCTGAATTTGAGGATTACTCCCTGGCTACAGGGCTGAATGAGAAATCTGCAGCAGTGCAGGCAGCCGCTCTGAGAAGAGTCACGGGCAGTGAATGCAGGCGTGTGTATAAGCACAATCTGAACCTCTCAGCAGAGCAGCAAGAGAATGTTACAGCCATTCTGGATGCACTAGAAGCTTATTTCAAACCTGCTAAAAATGTCATTTATGAAAGATATGTGTTTGGACGCTGCAAACAAGAGGAGGGAGAATCTCTTGACAACTTTGTTGCTCGCTTACGAGAAAAAGCATCAACTTGTGAATATGGCACCCTGAAAGATGAACTAATAAGGGACAAAATTGTTCTTGGTATATCTAATGAGAGCACATGCAGGTGTCTTCGAAGAGAACGCGACTTAACGCTAAACACAGCCATAGAAACGTGTCGTACAGCAGAGCTCACTGACTGACATCTGAAAGTGATGGAACAGGACAGACTGACAGCATAAACGTTGCAATGTAGCAACGGCACATAAGCAAACCGCAAAGACAGCAACACATGCTTAGCGCAAATGCTGCCAACTCTACAGCATGCAAATATTGTGGGACTGTGCATCAAGGAATTAAAGAACAGTGTCCAGCATATGGAAAGTCTTGTAGGTCTTGTAGAAGAGCAAATCATTTTGCTAAAGTTTGCTTGTCAAGTAAAAAACAGGTGTCATCTGGGAAATTACACGCTATGGAGGATGCGCCTGCATATGAGGAGGAGCCACGCATCGCTGAAGTGATATACAGCAGTGAATTAATCGGTGCTCTGCAATCCAGAGGAAAGAAATGGTTTGTCACTTTAATATTAAATAATAAGCCTCAATCCTGCCAGCTCGATTCGGGAGCGACATGTGATGTGATGTGATGTGCTTGAGAGACAAAATGATGTTAGCACCGGAAGTACTACTACTGCCAAGTGACACCAAACTAAAGTTATACTCAGGTGAAATTATGAAATCTCTTGGACTGTTCAGGACGGAATGTGTCGTACGTGGACTGACACACAAGCTAGAGTTTGAAATTGTGGAAGCTTGCTAAAAGCCACTGTTATCTGGCTCAACCTGCGAGCGTCTGGGGCTGATGCATTTCTCCATCCCTGCAGAGCTCAATGTGATGGACAATCAATTTAAAGGGCCCTTGACAAGACAACTGGTACTACAGGAATTTGGTGATGTTTTTACAGGGCCTGTTGAATCTGTTCCTGGGGAAGTTCATTTTGACCTTGATGTGAGTGTCCTTCCAGTCCAGTGTGTACCATGCAATGTGCCAGTGGCCTTGAAGAGGCAGTTAAGGCACAGCTTCACCGGTGTGAGGCTGATGGTCATATCGCACCAGTGACCGAACCAACTGATTGGATTAGCAACATGGTGATTGTAAAGAAGCCTGATAAGCTAAGAATATGTATAGATCCCAAATTTTTAACCAGGCACTGAAACGATCTCATTACATAATGCCAACTCTCGAGGATGTTTTGTACAAGCTGCCTAAAGCACGTCTGTTCACACTTGTTGATGCCCGGGATGCATTTTTACAGTGTAAGTTGGATACTGCAAGTAGCTGTATGAGAACCTTCTAGACTCCCTGGGGCAGGAAAAGGTGGCTCAGTCTGCCTTTTGGAGCCTCAGTTGCACCAGAGGTGTATCAATGTAAACCACATGAACTATTGGCCGGACTTAAAGGTATTGAGCCAATAGCTGATGACATACTTGTAGTTGGCTGTGGTGATCCAGATGGAGAAGCAGAGCAAGATCATCATTGCAAACTGCTGAACCTGATGAATCATTTTAGGCAAGTGAAACTGAGGCTTGGCGTGAAAAAACTGCAGTTCAAGGTCAAACAGGTCCGCTTTCATGGTCATATCCTTTCATTGGAGGGTTTGAAGGCTGACCCAGAAAAAATCGGCCATACTGGATATACTGCAGCTGGAAAATGTGAAATCTCTGCAGCGCTTTATAGGATTTATTACCTATTTGGCAAAGTTCCTACCACGTCTCTCAGAGGTTTGCAAGCCTTTGAGAAGACTTTTGGACAAGGATGCAGTTTGGCATTGGCTTCCTAAGCATGATAATGCAGTGCAGGAAATCAAACGTTTGGTCACGGATACACCTGTCCTTAAATGCTATGATGTTACAAACTGGTAACTATTCAAAGTGACGCAAGCAAAAGTGGACTTGGGGGTTGCCTGTTGCAAGCTGGACAGCCGATAGCTTTTGCTTCAAGGGCACTGACCCCTACAGAGCAAAGCTATGCACAAAGAGAGAAGGAATGTCTGAGTATTGTGTTCGCCTGCCAGCGCTTTCATCACTACCTTTATGGTCGTGGCAAGATCACGGCAGAAACTGACCATAAGCCTCTGATATCTGTTTT